TGGTGGAAGTTTGTCGGACGGGTGGGCGCCGTGACGCTCGCGTCACCGAGCTCGGTCCTCGGGCTGATTTTTGGCAAGATCGTTTCGCGCATTTAGAGGGCGACATTAGCCGGCTTTTCGGGTAACGATCGTCGTCGCGACGGACCTAGCCGCCGGGAGACGCCCCGCGCCGCGTCGCGTCGCGGCTCACCGCCGTCGTTGCACGCACGGTGGCACAGATTGCACATGCATTTCTAAAACGACGCCACTCCAAAAAATTAGTTTTCCCTAAATGAAAGAGATATCGTCGAAACAGAAGAGACATCGAGATGTTCGCTGTTACAGAGGGGTGGTTTGATTACTTAAGTTTGACACTAGATGTGGTCGTTTTAGAAATGCACGGGCGACAGGTTTTCCCCTATTTTCGACCTTGAGTATCGTCCTCCAACACCGTGGCCTGTTTCACAGCGTAAAAAGAGCCAACAACGATGGTTCGACTGGCAGCGCTGCTCGGGCTCGTTCGATCGGCTTTGCCGTGCTCGTGGAGAGAGGCACGTCCCAGCGAATGGTACGTAAAGCGTAAAGGAGTGGAAAAAAAAAAAGGAATCGGACGCGTGTGATGTAAAACTGTACTGCGCACGTGGCGCAGAACCGCGATTTGGTTGCGCGTCGACAACCGAAATCCAGCAAACGAAAAGAGGGTGGCGGTACACGCGCACTCCAGCTGGCTGCAATTCTTAGTCAGCCACCGATTCCATTGCTACCAGCCTAGGGCGCTTCCTTGCCCTCTACCCTTTCTCTCTACGCTCGGATACGTCCCGCTCGAGCATTTTCGGTTCAACGTTAACCTCCATTCGGTCCGACTCGTAACGCGTGGGAGCCGCTCGAAGGACGAATCGGATCTCGACGATGCTACGAAGCGGAGTGTCCAGTGATCGTTGTCTATTTGTCCTATTTAGAAGAGAGGGAAACTTGCCTAACGATACGATAAACTAGTTACGATTAATATACGCAACCATTCCGCGTGTAAACTTTTTCCTTTGTCCACTCTTCCCGCCCCCCTTGAATCGCGAACAGGAGAAAGGATGTCGGGATGTAGCGGTGGATCGAACAACTTCTAAACAGATTAACGCAAGAATCGTGCACACCGATGGAACAATTTTCAAGAGGGGTTCGTTATGGCGGGGCGTCGCGTCTTTTATATTGATTTCCCGAAAGATATTAATAACTCTAGAAAAGTATCGTCGATAACCGATGAGCTATAATAAACTTTCGAGTGCCGTCCCAGTTGCCACGAGCAGGCTAATCTCGACGGGGAAACCTGTTCGTCGACAGGGATGCGAAAAGACCCACGAAACGATAGGCGTTTGTCCATTTTTACGCGGGAAAGTATTTCTGCTTATCAGCCTGGAGCGGAGCGATTCGGTCGAGTCGAACAATCACGGCCTATGGAAATCTAGCGGTGGCCTGTACTCCGAGCTCCGATAACGTTCGTATTTATATCTGTGAAAAGGTGGAAAAAATGGAATGGCCTTCCGACGGGATCGCTGCATCGTTGGCTGTCGATCCGGAATCGAAGGCCAATTATTTCTGCGCGCATCCTCGTCCCCTGTCCGTGCGATTCGCCTATATTATTCTTTGCGAGTACATGCCACCGCAGATATTCTGCGTTCCGTTAGAATCGAAATTTGACGAACCGTTTCGCATCGTCTAGTTTACTTTCTCTTTCTCTTTAACGGTACGTTGTTCATTCTCTAGCTTCTCTGCATATTTCCTCTATAACATAAATGTTTGTTTGCCAAAGACGTCGATTAGTAGAAATCGAGAAATATTTGTACTCGGTAAATAGAAAGTTTACCCCATCTCTAGCAGTTGTTGTACACCTTCTGTTCTTTTATTACAAAAGAGTTCACGAAAATTCTTTTTCATTGCTTCGCGATTCGTCGATTCTGGAATCGAAATGCATCCCTATGACGAAAGGGCGTCGAGCTTTTTTGCGAAATTGAACGCTTTGGAAGTGACGGAGTTGTACGAAAGGTTTTTCGGTTCGTTGATCTACGCCATCTGGCCTGCCAACTATCTCGCGCCGGATACCTCAAAAAAATAATCGAATCGTGAATATTCAGACGCCTCGCCGCGGCGAGTGTGCGCGGTGGAGGAAGAACGAACGAACGAACGGAGATGGCGAGAGAAAAACGGAGGGACGCCGACGCCGACGGCTCGTATTAATTACCCTGAGCATAAAAAACGTAGACGCTAGCGACACGAGCGTTTGGCACGAATCTCTCTGCAGTTGGGCGCGTCACTCGTTCATCCCTAAAAGCTCTAATGTGGGCGACGTTCGTACGATCGACCTGGACGAGACAGGAAATTCGAAGGATCGTTAAATTTCGTAATTTTTGGACCGTGCGTAATCAGCGATACGTTGCACCTGTTGCTGGCGTAGCAATCATCGAAGCGGTGATGAACGGAAGAGCCGTGTTAGACGATGCATTACATCGTTCCACCCTCGCCGCGGCGTCAAGTCGTTGCCAGGCAGTCCGTGCAGGCTCATTTTCGAGAGTACTATCGATCTGTCGGTCACGGGACTCGTTCTATCAATTATTACCCACTTGGATTTCAATAATTCAAAGACGCGTTTGGTCGTGCCGGATGCGGACGGATTCGAAGGCAATTTGCAGGCGACTCGACCGTTTTCTCCTGTTTAACGACGTTACGTTGGATGCACCCGCACGAGAGAATCATCCGAAGCGGATATCTATCGCGTTTATCGAATATTAATATTCGACGAGATTATTTTTCTATTCGAATCCGTGCTCTATCTAAAATGTCAATCGAAGGAACGCCGGTTCTCGATGAAAATTTACTTAAAAATTCTCAATTTCTCACGCGGAACCACCACGCGTTAATAGTATTATACCTCTCGCAGGGCACTCTGCGTAGAATAAAAATGATCGATCGTATCGTTGACGTTACGAGTGAGGGCGAACAGCGATCACCGCGTCGATAGTAACATTGTTACCGTTATTACGACATCGTGGCTGACTGATAATGCTATGTTAACGCGTCTCGCATGTACGAGGTCGGCGTGGGCAGCAAATTAACCCTGCCAACGGTAATGGACTCTCGCGGGTGGATGTACCGAAATAATTTACGTATCCTCCAAACGCTCGGACGCGTCCTCGACGTGAAGATTCTTTGGGAGGCAATTTTTTCTTACCTTCGAGAGCAGACAGGTAAATCAGAGACTCGAATATCGCGACTTGTCATTTCCGACGTCATAGCTGTCCGTGAATCGCGATTACCGGTTGCGACACGCCGATGGCGACGCCGTCTCGTTGACGTTTTTTCACCTAGAAAATGAAAACCAAGGACTAGGATCGTGATACGAACGGTAGTAATCTCACTGTCCGTCGCGACGCGAAACGTGGCCATCATTTGGAGAAGGTAAAGCCTGCAAGATAAAGAAAAAGGTGCATTATAAGATTACTCTCGTTACCGAATGAAAAGCATCGGGTACGAGTTCTGACGTTCTCAAGAGAATTTAAGGAGCACTTTAGAGGGTTCCCAGGGAGCATCCCGAATACGGCGACGATCGATCAAGAATATATTCTTCCGCGCGTTGTGCAAATTCTGTGGCAGAGGATTTTTTTTTTTATTTTTAGAACGACAAGGTAACTTTTACATTGCACCGAACTACAAATATATGAAACTAATTAATCCAGAGGTTCCGTGGAAAAATGGGATTTTGAAAAGTCTGCATTGGAACCTCGTAATATTTTCAATTATTCGAATTTTACCACGACTCTTTCAGGAATATACTCTCAGGACTTGAATGTTTAAGAAATTGGGATTATCCGAAATTAGCGAACCGCTTCGTTAACGTCATCGAAAAAGCGAGCTTTTTCGAAGCGACGCGTTCTTCTCCCATCCCATCCCCATCTCGTTTTGTCTCGTTCGGAGCACGTGCTCTAAATTCTTAAAGGCGGAACGCTGATCACAGCTGAATAGAGAATCAAGGTTCGCTGAATAGGACGCAATTTTCCAACGATACTTTGACGAGCTATCGAGCTTGGTAGCATCATAAAAGTCGCGAGAGGCTCGCGGAGACGCACCGATGCACCGGCTGGAACCTTGTTGCGAATTTATTGCATTACCGGACAGCTTGATTGCACTTCCCTGCGAGGAGAGGGCACGCGCACGGGCCGATCCTGGCTGCAAAAGTCTCGGCTAATGGAGTTAATTAGTCCCAGTTTCGCGTAATATGCTCGCGACGGCCATTAACGAGACTTTCTCGCGAAACGTCTGCGAAACATCGCGCGTCGAGTGTTTCCAAAAAATCGACGAGGATCTTCGTACACTTTGAATACAGTCGCTCTTCGTCGATGTCACGCAAGCGTGTTTATTTGAAAAGAGACCGTAATGTCTCGACTCTAATTGAAATTTTGAAAAGACAACGTATACCGTCCCGAGTCGCCACTGTGTTTACATATCAAACCGCCACGTTCCCCACTCCTCTTCTCGATACCTGTCGAAACGAAGGAATTCTCGTCTCGGACGGTCTCGTTAGTATTCGATTAGAGCTATCATCGCGACGTAAAAGTGTGATTTCCGTAAGTTACTGATCTCGATGAATATATCTCGCTCGATGTGTGTCGGCGACGATTTTCCCTCGCTTGTCGCTGTCTCGTGTACGCGTAGTTCCTCGCGGAAACCTAACGGCTGCGACGACTGTTTCAGTTGTTTGTGAAACGAAGCGAAGGAAATTTGTTAGAAAAGGACCTTAATTATAGAAAGAGAGTAATTTTGAGAAAATTTTAAGGTTTATGCAAGATTGAAAAACGATCAGCGATGATTTCGGTCGCGTTATCGTTTTCGTTTCCATTCGTACGCCTACGAAAGCGACGCGTGTTTGCGAAATCGATTATGGCGACGCGGGTACCGTGGCACACGCGCGACTCCCACAACTTTCTTTGAGTGTTTACGACGACTAACTCGTTTGATCGTTTCGTGATTTCCAGGTTGGCAGCGCAAGAGGCGGCACAAAGGGACCCTGGATACGCGAGTCAGTACAGGAGAAGGCCGAGGTGGGCCGGACTGAGTGGTCTCGGTGACTGGACTAGCTTTGGAGGGGAGGTAAGAGTCGTCTAAGCTTGAAAAAGCTTCGTCTGAGATATTCGTTAATTGCGGGTTCTCTCGCGGCTCCTCTTACAAAGCCGCTCACCCTTCGCGGGCGAATTATTCTCGCTCGTTTCTTCGCTTCGCTTCGTCGCGAGGGATTCGAATGTTGCGATGCCGAGTAGAGCCGAGTAGTTACGAAACGTTGCCCTTAAAAAGTGTACACCGTGACTCCACGAAAGAAAATGTAATCTTCCACGAGACCATTCGTATAAACTGTTTACATAGGGTGTTCCGTGCCAACGCTCATTAGAAGTAATCGGTAGGGCGTATACTCGGCGCAAAAAGGTCTTAACCCTTTGCACTCGAGAGGTGACTTTCGGTCACCACTAGGTTTCACGCAGCAAATCAACCAGCAATGATGCTTGTTTAGATTTAATTTCTTTGGAACTCCAAGTGTCAGAATAATGATTGTCGGCGAGGCAAAGGTGACCTGATTCTCAAATCTCAAATTAGCTGAGGAAGCATCTCGAGTTGCTGGTGGATGTTAGAAAAAGAGGCTTCGAGTGCAAAAGTTGAACTTTTGCTCGATAAAACGCTAATAAAATGAAAATGTGCGAAAATTTGTAGGTACCTGGTCTGGTGGACATGGCGCCAGGCCGGGATCAGGGCGGAGGGGCGGGTGGCGGTGGGGGAGGCGGCAAGGGCACCACGTCGTTGTTCATCCTGTCGGAGGATAACTGCATCAGGAAGCATACCCGCTTTATAATCGAGTGGCCGCCCTTCGAGTACGCCGTCCTGCTCACCATCATCGCCAATTGTGTTGTCCTCGCCCTCGAGGAGCACCTGCCGAAGCACGACAAGACCATTCTCGCACAGAAGCTCGAGGCGACGGAAATCTACTTCCTCGGGATCTTCTGCGTCGAGGCGAGCCTCAAGATCCTCGCCCTTGGCTTCGTCCTCCACCGTGGCTCCTATTTGCGCAACATCTGGAACATCATGGATTTCTTCGTCGTGGTGACCGGGTGAGAGGACCATTTTCTATTTCCATTATCTACTTCTATCGTTCGAAAATTTCAGACATGTTCCGCGACGGAAGACAATTCTGCACAAGCCTTTATCAACGTTTCGACGTTTTCCTTGAAATCATCCGTAGTTACTTTTTCCAACCTATGCAGAATTGTCCTCCTTATCGGTATTGGCACTGGCATTGTTGTTATTCGTATACGAGCATTTCTATTAATATATTCTTCTGGTTAACTTCGAGGGAAGATCATTCCGGTTCTCGGCTGCCTCGCGGTCCAACAAGCTCGAAAGAAAATGGGGTATCTTTCGGACGCGGAAAAAGTGAAATCCAGAACAGGCCACGAGCATCGAAAACCGGGATATTCTTCGGAAATGATTCGCGAAATCTCTCACGGCCCCGTTTACATTCGTTACTTTTCGTCATACCGCGATCTCTCATGGTCACGACTTTACGATCTTACGTTCCCTCCCTCGTTTTCACCTCCGAACAAACGAACGAGCGCATTCTTGCTCTCTTCCATTTTTACTATCTCCTTCTCTCTCTCTCTCTCTCTCTCTCTCTCTCTCTCTCTCGCTCTCTCTCTCTCTCTGTGTTTGTCTTTTATCCACAGGTGGGCAAAATTTTATTCGAACAATAGGTGAGCGATGACGCAAGTTTATTCGAGTAAATGGTTGTTTCATAATATAAATACTAATTAAAATTTATCGAACCGATAACTAGAGCTAGTTCAGATGAGAATTTTGTCCATCTCCGATTCCTCCGTGCTCCGCGTTTTCCGATTGATGGAAGCGAGAGTAGAAACGCATCGTTGTCCCGACCAACATTACACGATTTACACGTTTCCGCTTTCCATCTGTTCGTTTCCTTCGCCCCGAGACACCGCTCGTTCGAGCGAAGCAGACGTTTGGAGAGGAAAACAGTGGACGAGGAGAATGTTACGGTCAGGTCTGATCGGCAACCCTAACGCGTGATTTCTCTACAAATTGTTTCGCGAGTTAACAAACCTACGGTAGAGCGATAAATGATTCCGATCTCGTTCGCCTCGAGGAATCCTGCCAACGGAGAAGGTCCTTTCGTCGTTGTTAGCTAGATGGATCTCCTACTGCTCTTTAAGACGCGCAAACGACCGACTAATGTATTTGTTTCGAGTAAGTTTCGAGGAAATTTGAATCGACGAGGTTAGTTGAACGAGGACCGAGGAAAGGATCTTTCTCCGCGCAGGCTTAACATTTAAGGAAGAACGTCGATCGATTCTTTCGGCCGAACAGATAGATTCTAGAGTAATCCTTGGATTAGGTCGATGACCGTGTTCGCCGAAACAAACGTGGACGTCGACCTGCGTATGCTACGTTCCTTCAGGGTCCTCAGACCGCTAAAGCTGGTTTCGAAAATTCCAAGTGAGTCAGTCACAGTTCTGCGAAACTGGCAGAGATGCAAAAGCCATATAAGTAACTAACAGTAACTAACAGAGTGCAGTAACAGAGAACAGTCGAGCAGCAGATTGATAAACTAACTAAACCCTAACACCCCCTGGCAGTTGTTTTCCTGGCAGTTTGTGTGCGTTCGACTAGTCTCCTTAGTTTTAAACTGTTTCTTGATTAACAAGACACACTTAGTTCGTCGAACCATTTAGTTTCTATTTTTGTCTGTCGCTATCTCTATACCTACTTCTCTCTATCTATCTGTCTGTCTGTCTATCCGTTTGTCCGTTTCTCTTTTTTATACTTTAGTTGGCACGTTGGGTCGACACCGTTTGGTTGATTGGTTTTGCTTTCACGAACAAGCAATGCTACTAATCTACTAATCTACTAATCTACTAATCTACGCTTTATTTTTACTTATCCCATTTCTTTTTTTTTTTTATTTAGTTTCTCGACCAAACGTGTCATTTGAGTTGATCCATTTTGTTTGTTTTGATTTGTTTTGTTTTGTTTTCAGTTTATTAACTACCACTTAGAGGCTATGGGTGTATTAGATCAGTTGATTGACGCTAGATGATCGTTGAGAGTTGATGATCGATATATTAATTGAATATAATATCTATATATTTATATTATATATTCTGTGTCTACGTGGTTTGCGTAATTCGAGTGTCTACTTTATATATCTATATACGTATATATTCTACTGCCTCTATAGAGGACTTGCGTGAACTAGTCGCTAGTGTTATATTTCGTTATTTGCTCTATCTTCTGTCGTTATGTTCAGTTTTGTGCACACGTTGTTCTTATTTAGAGACTTCTGAAGTCGAGGAATTAGATATTTACACACATACACACACGCACGCACAAACAAACACAAATACACGTACAAGCGGGCGTATACAGACACGTCGGATCGTCGAACCGAAATTTTGGACTTTTCATTAAGGAGAGGTAAACTGCGAACGTGGCTCGAATTTCAGTTACCGGGAAAATATGCGTATTGTCCTTAGCTTGGGATTTCAATTTTTTCGTTCCTTATCGCGATACGTTGTTCGCGCAGCGAATTTTCTTTTTCGAGAAAGAAAGAAGACATGTTCTTTTTACCTGGAATTTGTTTAGACCCAGCCCCGTTCGCGTGAAACGTTCCCATCGCGTTCACCCGCGACAACGCGCGATCACACGCCGAAACAAAAAACCACACGAAGCTACTGGCCTGCGGGTGTCTCTATATTTAGCAGTCTCTATCTTTAGCTACAGTCACTGATTGATAGAGTTGACTATACATTGGTAAATAGGTACTAGGTGTTCTAGAGCAGTAACGTATTCCAGCGAGCTCGTGTTTGCTAGAGAGTCGTACCTTTAGACACCCTCGAGAGACCGTGTGTCATCGTCCTACAAACTCGTAGACCTCACCGAGGTGTCCTCTCTTACACCGGCTTCCCTTTCACTATTGATCCTGGAAGCTTCGTTCTCCTTTAATCGACGTGTTTGCCATGCGGAGGAAATAAGAAGTCGATGCGAAAGGTTCACGACTCGTTCGCACGAAATTCACGATTGTCTGGAAGAACGGGTCTATGAAGTTTTAGGAATAGAAATTCATAGTTGTAGCTGTGTTCTTTGTATCAACGACGAGTTTAAAATGGCAGCTTACGATGCGCGAACGCAGAGCTCTGCAGTCGAGTCAAAGGGGTGCGCGGTGTCGGTGATCCGTCGCGATTGTTCGCGATTCAAACCCCGTTCGAAGATACGCATCTAACGAAGAACATGGAATACGGGGGTCGATCTATACTCTATATTCTATAGTCGCGAAAGACAGGGGCGAAGGGTATTCGTCGGAGTTCGACGACCGCCGCGGACGTTCCCTTTAACAATTTCGTGGAACTAGAACTGCGGTTACGTTTGTATCCAGCACCGATTTACCGTTTGCGTCATTGTCTCGATAAATCTATATCTAGCACTAGAAGAAGTTTCCTCCTTTTCTTGTTCTTTTCAAGAAAAATCATCGTCAAAAGTTACTTTAACTTCAATTCACATCCACAGTTATTTTTTCACGCATTCTATCCCAGATATATCGAAACACATTTTTCGCCAATTTCGATCGCTACGATGCGACGATCGACCAAATTGATTTCCTTTGAAACCGTTCCGCCCTTTCACGAAGACAGTTTAAGGAGCAAATTCACCGATGCGCTAATTCGATAAGCTAATCCGAAGCTGCGAGAGTCGAGAGCTAAGCTTCGAGCCTTTTGTCTTCGGATTGGGCTGTACAATTGAGCCAGACTAACTTTGACCCGTTCGCCTTTGACCGAACCGAGCGAATTTCAAGTTTCATCTTGTTCCAATGCGGCTGTTTATTCTGATACTGTTTCAACCCTAGTCTTAAGACAACGGTTGCCTGCTTAGAAAGCTCGGTTTTATTCGATACATTAAATTGTCGCCGATTTGACGTTTCACTCTGGAAATGCCTTTTTCTTATTAAATACGGAAAACAGCATTGTCTACTGATGTTAATCATTTAACTGCTGTGCTCGAGAACATTCCGACTGACGCGGTTAACGATATCATTAAACTTTTGGATTTTATAAACAAATTTGACAGTCTTTTAGTTCCACTTCAACGAACTTATAGCATTATATTTGTGCTCCAAGTTGATCCGTAAGTAAACTCGGAATATAATTACGACGAAACGAATCCCCCGTGTAGAGAGTGATCCCGTTTCTCCGACTTATCGTTAGATTAGAAGGCCCTGATTCACCGCCGCGTTGGCGGTCAGTTGTTTAATGCAATAAACCATAAAGGAACCGAAGACATCGGTTCCCGGCGAGCTTCACACGACCCCTCGATAGAAACTCTCCCGATTTCCTCCGGGTTAGGCCATAGAACGCTAGTTAACCACATAGTTGTGTAGTTTAAGTACTTAAGTAGCGTGAGTATTAGTGTAATAGAGTAGTAAGTAGTAAAGTGTGGCGGGGTGTGTGTGTTTTGGGGCAGGTTCATCACGGCGTTCTCGCAAGGCATAGAACTGGATATGGATCTGCGCACGTTGCGTGCGATACGCGTGTTGCGACCGCTCAAACTTGTCTCCGGCATACCGAGTGAGTAGCGTTTCAATACAATCGGCCACGAGATCTAGCCGAAATGAAAGCAAAGCAATGCAAAACGAAACAAACGAAAGAAATTGTCTCATCTCTCTTCGGTGCTCCTTTCCTACCTATCTCGTTTTCGTCCGATCGTCCGCAACTTTTCGTACAATCGGCTGTGTGAAATTCCGATAGGCCGGATAGCCGATTTGCATTTTTTTTTTTCCATTCGCTGTCCAGTCATGAACGCCGCGCTTCGATTCCGCGAGCTATCCGTTAACGGGTTTATATACGGCTGAACCTTCGAAAAGACGCATTTCATAAAGAAGAACGAGTAGTCGAACCGGAAAGAGAAAAGAATCGATACAAGATCGAGCCGTCTTTTCGAGCGTGCAGCTATACGTAATCCCTTGAAAGCCAAAGGAAGAAAAGCGTTCGATTCCCGACGCGATACGGGATAAGCGTGTGCAACCGTGTGTGCGCGGGATAGGAAAATTATGTTTCGATTAGAAGGAAAGGAAAGCGCGAGGTTCGGTGCTCGAGGAACGCGTGTCGCGGTTCCGCGTGTCCTGAAAACTATCCCGCGTCTGGAATTCGGATACTTCGTGGATCGACTGGATCCGTTCCTCGAAACGTTCACGTTTATCGATTAGTTGCTGTATAGATCCGATTACCAGCGAACCGATGAAATACGTTTCGGACATTAAAGGTCGTAGATCAGTGTAGTAAGTTTGTTGCAAGTATATTACATATATTTCTACATATATCGATATGTCTATATTTATACATGCATACATATATTTTATATATATATGTACATGTATATGTATATATACATATATATCTCTACACGTAGATGCCTTGCAAGGTTAGAACGATTATTTTGTTTATGTAGCACCACCCAAATAGATATCTTTTGAAAGTTCTGTATGCTGTGTCTATGTAAGAACGAAGTATCCCAATTGTTTGGCCGCTGGATCGTATACGATCGTCGATCGTACGTCATTGCCGTGAAACGTTAACGAAAGGTTATTCGAAATACAGGATTACGTATGTCGCACACCGTACAAAATAATCGCGCACGTACGGCACGTACGATTTATATGAATCGCCGCGGCGTCGAACGGAATATACCAGATTCTTACTCGAGAACGAAAAGTGCAGACGATTCCGTGCACGATTCCCCGAGCAGCGACGCGAGTGAAACACGTAAAAGAAATCGATGGTAAAAACATACGCGACGCGCTTCGAGAAAGCGGTTGTCGGGCCTAATTACTCCTCGCCAACTTTTCTGTGAACAGGTCTCCAGGTGGTGCTCAAGTCTATTATCAAGGCGATGGCCCCGCTTCTGCAGATCGGTTTGCTGGTACTTTTCGCCATCGTGATATTCGCCATCATCGGTCTCGAATTTTATTCGGGAACTCTGCATAAAACGTGCTATAGCATCAAGGATATCAGTAAGTAAAGAAGAAGCCGAATCGAGCGAGTTTCTACGAGCGAATCGTTTCTAAATCTCGGAAAACGGATACTAGACGAAACGAGACTGGTTTCGATTGTTATTTTGCTTACTTGCCTATTCTCTTGGTTATGCGATATTTGTTCATTTTTTTTTTCATTTCGATTTTTTCGAATTTTTACGGAAAAGTAGACGCGTCGTGATTAGTCGCGAACGAAGGGCTTGAAAGAGGTCGGAAACTGGGCCGAGAGGTCTGACAGTGGCTCTGTTGTAGATGTTATCGTGAAAGAGGGCGAACAGCCGAGCCCGTGCAACACGGACAACAAATCCGAGGCGCCGTTCGGAGCCCACGTGTGCAACCCGAACTCCTCGACGTGCATGGATCACTGGGAGGGACCAAACTTCGGCATCACCAGCTTCGACAACATCGGATTCGCCATGCTCACTGTCTTCCAGTGCATCACTATGGAGGGCTGGACTGCCATATTGTACTGGGTAAAGCAAGAGATGTGTCCTTCAGTGTTAAAAACTCTATCTCTTTTCCTTCTACAATTACCGAGTTCCGAGCGTCGTGCACGCTGGTGCTTGACGCGGAGTCTTCGGTATCAGTTGTCGGCCAAACTATCCTTTTCAAATTTTGCGCTTCTCCTTTCCATCGAATCGATGAGTTTCCCTTCCTAAATGTAACAATATAGTTGCCATTTTGCAAAAATTGATATCGTACGCTCGGCACCGGTTTGATCTTGAATAAAAAACGATCCGCGTTGGATAATTTTCGATGGTTCATCTCTGTGAAAAATTTCGTAAAAGTTACGAAACGTCGCGTTCGGCGAGAAAGCATTTGCTTCTTTCGAAACGATACGAATCGAATTCGCGCGGAACGCGAACGCGTTTCGTCGAAGACAAACGGAAGAGTGTCGGAAGTCGTCGATTCGACGAAATATTCGGTATGTACCTTTCTCTTCCCAATGCCTGTGCCGATAATTTCCTTTTTCTTTTTTTTCACTTCCTCGTAAGTTTATGATCCAATTGTAAATGTGACCACTTCTCGCAACAATTTTTACTCGTTGTCAAACGTTTTATTTTATTCTGTGTGTCGTGTTTATTTGTCTCTTTTTCTCTCTGTGTATGCCCGATGAACAGTTTGGCTTTCGCCGTTACTCCTTCGTTCGCCGAAACGATCGAAGAGAAGCGCTTGCAGATGTTTACAGCTCCTAACACTGACGTATATGTTCACCTTGCTCAGTATAACACTGTCAGTTTCAGCCCTCTTTGCAAATCTTGGTGTTGATCTAATCGTATCGTTTATTTTTCTATGCTTCGTTTTCGAAGCTACCGTGGAGAACTGTCGGAAGAACTCCAAAACGAACATCTCGATGGATAGAAACGTGTTCCGAGTGCTTTGGATTTCTTGCGGTTTCGCGCACGATCACCGATACGACTCTTTTCGTTCGTTGTCTATTATTCGAAAGAAAAAGTTTGTTCATATCACACGTAGAAGCGTAGAGAAATACGATGTAACCTTTTGATACTGTGCGTAACCGGTGTATCGTGCCCGCGAGCGTAACGCATGGGCTTGACGTGGCTCTGGTGAAATTTGCAGACTAACGACGCTCTTGGCAGCACGTACAACTGGATTTACTTTATACCATTGATCGTCCTTGGCTCATTCTTCATGCTGAACTTAGTTCTCGGTGTCCTGAGCGGGTGAGTATTATCATTTTCGATTACTGTCCCATTTACTTCGTTCGGTTCCTTCGCTCCTTGTTCCGTTTATCACGATACAGGGTGTCACTTACGATAACGATGGTTTCGAAGCGCGGCGAATCTACGAGATCATTGGCACATCTCGAACTGGGACAGGGTCGCGATTATACGATAATTTATAATTGAGTTTGGTTTCAGCGATGAAAGCCTCGTAGATTCTGCCGCGCTTAAAAACGTACGTTGACGCGCGTCAACCCTGGCCTAGGATTTCCCGGGTTTCACCTTTGTTTCTTTTCCGTCAGGGAATTTTCGAACGAAAGAACACGCGTCGAGAGGCGGGCGGCTTATCAGAAATCAAAGAGAAAACGTCTGTTCACGACTGCGTTCAGTTCCTACTTAAAATGGATCACTCAAGCAGGTCTCTTTTTTTTTTTTTTAAAGAACCCCCATTATATAGAAGGAAAAAGATCGAAGTGCTCGTAGAGATTGATTACACGAATAGGAATAATTTCAATTGGAATACACGTATCTGTATCCCCTGACATCGAGTAGAAACGTGATCGATTTGGCGTGAAACGAACCAGTAGCGAGAAGAGCCAGCTATCGCGAGATGCTCCGTAACGTTGTATTATATTCCCTCGTAGACACCAGTAATCTCCGAGTTGTCATCCGACGTATCCGATGTATTCTCCTCGCGGCGATAACGCTTTGCATAATAGCTCGAGTAGATAAACGCGCGCACCGCGAACCAGAGTCCTCCTCTAGACGCTAGAAGAGTAACGTCGCGCGATACCTGTCCCGTCCACGTGTACCTACACGATACACGAACGAGCAGAAAACGAAAACCGTATTTAGCCACGGAAGTGTCCTTTATCCTTGTACGCAGCTCCTCTATCATATTTCTGTAACGCTTGTAGAGAGTTTGCGAAGGAGAGGGAGAAGGTGGAGAACCGGCAGTCCTTCCTGAAATTGCGAAGACAGCAACAGCTCGAGCGTGAACTGAACTGCTACCTGAATTGGATCTGCAAAGCAGGTTAGAGAGTTAGCGCAACCCGCCAGCACCGACTTTCGGCCGAGAGGCGCCCTTTTACCTTAAGCCAGCTCCGTCCGTAGGCCAAACAACTTTTTTACAATTAGCTAGCTTCGTCCTTTGCCAGCGCGTCATCTTACGCGTTCTCGCGGCACTCAGTTGTCGATTTTCTTATTCGTTTTGCGGTCTTTTCTCCTTCCCTTCCCTTCGATCGTTATCCTCGACTAAACGTTCACTGTGATTTATAGAGGAGGTAATACTCGCGGAAGAAAGGACCACGGAAGAGGAGAAGATGCACATATTGGAAGGTTCGTGACGATAACGAATGCTCAAGGGTTCCATCCTATCTAGGGATGGCGGCCTAACGTTCCTCGTTCTCTCGTCGGTCGTATATTTAAACATGATTTTCGTTTACAGTAAGAAGAAGGGCTGCGGCGAAAAAAAAGAAACTGAAGAATCTCGGTAAAAGTAAGAGCACGGATACGGAAGAAGAGGAAGGCGACGACGATCAAGACGATGGTGAGTTGTATTTTTCCCTCTCGTTCTCTCCCGATGCTGTCCGACTTTGCAAACATTCTCTCTTCCTCGTAATATTATGCTGTCTTTTTTAGCGTTACTTCCGTTTCATCGGCCCGTTTTACATACTTTCCACGACAAAACGATAGAGCATCTTTTGACTTTTTTTTTTTTTGATAGTCTCGTTAATCGTACGAAATACCGATACGGGTTTACTATCGATTTGTCACGGAACGTATTTGATCGACATCGATCGACATCGGGTGGTCTAGCGAGTAAAACCGCGACTCGTAAAACGCGAAAACTATCGCGAGCGCCTCGAACGAACGCAAGATCACCCAAGTTCCATTTCTGATTTCTATTTCGTACCGGTAAGAGAACGATGATATCCAATTTCCCCCGATCTTGGCGACGAACATTCTAAACACACGCTATCAGATGCTCCTCTTGTTTCAGTGCCTAAGAAAAACCTGAAAGGTAACTACAACATGTCAATGCCAGAACTTGCAAAGAGCAACGCAAAGCAAAGCAAGGCTGTACTCGTAACTTTTATTCAGTAACCGTTTCCTTGTGTTTTCGTTTGAGAGGTCTTTGTCGTTTCACCTTCAACGCAAACATATACACGACGAACACGAACACGAACACGCGTAACATTAACTAGAACAGTATGCTGGCGCGTAATCGACTTTGCTGCAGAGCATACTTGGCGAAACCAGACAAAGTAATTGTCACGTAGTTAGAGTACACGTACAAGGCGTCTCGATTCACGGGACGTCCCGTATGTACATAAATACGTACGTGTTGTATATGTCACTCGAAAGCGCAGGCTGTGCACGAAAAGCACGATAGAACAGCCGCAATTATCGTAATTACAAAAGAAACGCGAATGCGTTCGTAAGGCGAGGCGGAGCCTGTTCTTTCGAAAATTTTTCACGCCACGTTATCTAGGACTCGACGCAGACTCTAAGGAGACTCGAGGCGCTAATTAATTTTGTTTTTTTAGGAATTGCTTCTGTGGCTGGTGTCGCTGTGTACTTTGTACATTTACGTGTCTTTGTCGACCACCTGAGAGCATTCGTAACGAGAACATGCCGATAAAGATTTCCGATGTTCGTATTGTTTCGAGATTCGCTGTCCGAGTCACGAGTGCTCCAGGTGTAAATGTGTACCCCTGTGATTTAGGTATGCCTGACAGTGGCGGAGTACCGATTCGTGTTTTCGTCTCGTCTCGTCTCGTCTCGTATCGTATCGACGTTGTCATAGTTGGTGTACTAACGAGTTCTCGTCAGGATATCGTAGAACGATTAGCGCCATGGAGCGAAAAATCGATTCGACGAGAAATAGAATGCCAAAAATAGGACTTGTCCCATAGAGTACGAAAGACAGGCTGGGTCCAAGTACTTACACACCTAGCGATAGATTAGCCACACGCATAGGTATTCTTGCTTTATAGACTACTAGTTAGAGATAGTCTTACGTACATACATATATATGGTGGCGTTATATGTGTACCGATCGTGGAAAAAGAATTCGAGACGAAGAATTCGATTCTCCGATCGAAGTAGATAGTAATTAGAGTCGACGAAGAAAAGTTTCAAATTAGATTTCGATGTCGTTTCGGGACAGCGTGAGCCGAGAAAGTTGCGATACGGCATTTTCCGGTAAAGCGGTTCGTTTATATCGCAACGACGTTATCGAGAAAAAATTCCGCGCGTACACCAGTCGCGATACGATTGCGCGGCTCGATCTAACGAACGTATTCGAACGGCGTTGCAAAACGTCACGAAACACTTACCACGGTAGGCTAAACGCCAAAGGAAATTACCAAGAAATTTTTATCGAGATAATCGTTCTATTTCAACGTGGTAACGTAACTCCTTTTTTCAAAAATTCCACGAGAAAGACAAATGGAGAGGAAAGAAAGAATAATCGATCGACTGGTGTCGCGAATAAAGCAAAACGATAGCTTCGAGTTTTCGGTGAAACGATCGATTTGTGGTTTACAGGGTTTTCGAGATCTTCCTATTTCAAATCAAGGGTGAAAGGCAAGGGGACTTGCGTCGAGTTCTGGCGGGCCGAGAAGAGGTTTAGGTTCTGGATACGGAACTCCGTAAAGTCGCAAAAATTCTATTGGTTCGTCATCGTCCTTGTGTTCTTCAACACGGTCTGCGTGGCCGTCGAGCATTACGGTCAGCCGCAGTGGCTCACCGACTTCCTCTGTGAGTATCTACCTCGTTCGTATTTCTTTTAAAATGTTTACAACGTTTACATTAACCAGCTTCGAACAAGCGATACGTCTGAATCGAAATGGTTGTTGACAGATTTTGCAGAGTTCGTGTTCCTGGCTCTGTTCATGATGGAGATGTTCATAAAGGTGTACGCGCTCGGTCCTCGCACATACTTCGAGTCGAGCTTCAATCGCTTCGACTGCGTAGTCATCTCGGGATCGATCTTCGAAGTGATCTGGTCCGCGTTGAAGTCCGGCTCTTTCGGCCTCTCCGTCCTACGTGCCCTTAGACTGCTGCGAATTTTTAAGGTCACCAAATACTGGAAGAGCCTAAGGAACCTCGTAATATCGCTGCTCAGTTCGATGCGTAGCATCATTTCCCTGCTCTTCCTGCTCTTCCTCTTCATTCTCATATTCGCGCTGCTCGGCATGCAGCTCTTCGGCGGTCAGTTCAACTTTGACAGCGGGACGCCGCCCACAAACTTCAACACCTTTCCCATCGCGCTGCTCACTGTCTTCCAAGTAAGTTACACTCGGTTTTTCTCGGTGGATTTTTAACTAACGATAAGCCGTGTTCCATTTAACCGAAGCTGGAAAAGCATAGCGCTCGGCAAGGAAAGAAGACACGAGACATGGTCTTTCCTCCGAGCCGCGAATTAGATAATCGTCGATAATCGCGCGAGAACAGACTTGTTTAACGAGGAACGATGCGTTGGAACGACAGATCCTGACCGGAGAAGATTGGAACGAAGTGATGTACCAAGGTATCGAGGCGCAAGGCGGTACCAGGGGAGGCATGGTCTATTCGCTCTACTTCATCGTACTGGTGCTCTTCGGCAACTACACGCTGCTGAACGTGTTCTTGGCTATCGCCGTCGACAATCTGGCAAACGCACAGGAGCTGAGCGCCGCCGAAGACGAGGAGAAAGTGGAGGACAAGGAGAAGCAGGCGCAGGAGCTCGAGAAGGAGATCGAGACGCTGCAGAAGCCCAAAGACGGTAACGCGCCCAAGGTGGAGGTCTGTCCTCCGAGTCCGAACCAGAATTTGTGAGTGTCCATCCAATGCTCGATATTATCGATCCATCATACGCGTAATAATGATTTCTCTTTCGATTTTAGCAAAGACGGAAAAGGTGGAAAGCAGTCATCCGAAGAGAAAAAGCAGGATGAAGACGAAGACACGGGACCAAAACCAATGCTGCCATACACCTCCATGTTTATACTGTCCTCTACGAATCCGTAAGTCGTAATCGTTTTATCATTCGCGGAGGTATAACACAGGGTGGTCCGTTATGATAAATAGCGTCATAAATATTGCGCATTTCGAAACCTTGATCGCTTTGAGAGTTTAATTGATATTTGTAGAATTGCCTTGGACCACTCGGTGTACGATGCGTTCGACTCGAACGAAAGAAGAATCGGAACGATAACGAGGATTTAACGTGTTCATTTGATTTGTGTTCGCAGCGTAAGAAGAGCCGCCCATTGGGTCGTTAACCTGAGGTACTTCGATTTCTTCATTATGGTGGTGATATCGTTGTCGAGTATCGCGTTAGCCGCCGAAGATCCCGTGTGGGAGGACTCTCCGAGGAACAAAGTGCTGAATTACTTCGATTACGCGTTCACCGGTGTCTTCACCGTCGAGATGATCCTGAAGATCATCGATCTCGGCATCATCTTTCACGAGGGCTCGTATCTGCGCGAGTTCTGGAACGTTATGGACGCGGTGGTCGTGATATGCGCCGCGGTTTCGTTCGCGTTCGACATGACCGGTAGTTCCGCCGGACAGAATCTCTCGACGATCAAGTCGCTGAGGGTGTTGCGCGTGCTTAGGCCGTTAAAGACGATTAAGAGAGTGCCGAAGCTGAAGGCGGTCTTCGATTGCGTCGTGAACAGTCTGAAAAACGTCATTAACATTCTCATAGTGTATATATTGTTCCAATTCATATTCGCTGTGATCGCGGTGCAGCTCTTCAACGGCAAGTTCTTCTACTGCACCGACGAGAGCAAGTATACGGAAGAGGATTGCCAGTGAGTATACGTCCGATGTCGTTTGTTAGAGACGTAGGTATACGAGCAAACTAGAATGCAAACCGACGAGAACACGAGGGTGCAACTTTTTTTACGGAAGCGTCGTCTGTGTCTCGCAGGGGTGAATATTTCGTTTTCGAAGAGGGTGCCATGCTGCCGGAGCTGAAGAAGCGGGATTGGCAGCCCCAATGTTTTCACTACGATAACGTGATGGCCGCGATGCTGACGCTTTTCGCGGTCCAGACTGGCGAGGGCTGGCCGCAGATCTTACAGAACTCGATGGCAGCCACGTACGAGGACAAGGGCCCCATACAGAATTTTCGTATAGAGATGTCCATTTTCTACATCGTCTACTTCATCGTCTTTCCATTCTTCTTCGTCAACATCTTCGTGGCCTTGATCATCATCACTTTCCAGGAGCAAGGAGAGGCCGAACTGCAAGACGGTGAAATCGACAAAAATCAGGTTTGTCGTTTCGACGCGAGCAAAACCGAATAAATAAAGCACGTCGCATTAGCTAATCGTCGCGTCGTTTATTTCAGAAATCGTGCATAGACTTCACGATACAAGCTCGTCCTCTGGAAAGGTATATGCCGAAAGAGCGGAACAGCGTAAAGTACAAAATCTGGAGGATAGTGGTATCGACGCCATTCGAATATTTTATCATGATTCTCATCGTTTTAAACACATTGCTCCTCATGATGAAGGTGAGTGTCACGTTTCGTTCGCCCCATCCGAAAACGAGTCGAAGAGAAGCACAGATTTTCTTCGACGACGTTACGATCCCGAATAACGTACGGGCGCAGAAGACGCGACCGCTGGATGGAAAATGATTGTTTATCGATTTACCTACTCTTGTTCGTGTATCCGGTGTACATACCTACATACGTAGTATCCTCGCGACCTTGGATCGTTTCTATACTCCGATAAATACTCGATCTTGTGGCATTTTTGGCAACTTTAACCAATCGAAAAGCAGCCTAATAGACACTCTGATACGTTGTCGTTCGCGAGATCAGCGAGATCGTCGACGAGAGTACATCGTGTTCGACAAACGTGCACAATGGAGAGTTCGAAGTAACTGTAAGATATAACGTTATATCTGTACGAGGACATTGTTGTTCTTGCCTGCCAATTTATTTATTGCTCTCTGTATAATTGTCACCCTTGTGTATCCATTGATACGTGTACACAGCTGTGTTCGATATTCTTGTGCCCATCCAACCCTTTCGAAACCAGACAACCTCCCAACTTCTTCTCTCCCACTTTCGTCGTTTCGATTCCATTCGAATGTTGAGTTTTTACTTGGACGCTCCGTGATTCACGGTCTCTTGATGCTTTTTATACTCCACCCTCACTTGTACGTTCCGGAATCGAGACGCTTTTATTTCCACGCCAGGCGTGCGCGACTGCCGCGAGACATTATCGAGATAAGTTCCGGGCATTGAATTCAAAGTCCGTTCAGAATAGGCTACGTTTACTATACAAGTCTGTTTCTTTTCTTGGAAGAAGTATAGCGAAACCAAAGAACTGCCTTTGAATATAGAATAATTAACTGTTGATCTATATTTTCTTCTTCTTCTCTTTCTTTTTATTTGATCCGATCTACGATTTAGCGTTCTTAATTCATCATGGGATTAATTGTATCTATTTATTAGAAAGAGGGATTAATTGAAAAAATGTTTCTCGTGGCGTATTCGAACTTTAACACTTATTTTTAGTATCGTCGCGTTTAAGAAAATAATCGATGGCCTGTTTTACCATTGTACGCGTAATTGCAAAGAAATCTAAACGGTTCCGGAGGTTCGAATTCGATGCCAGGAAACTCGATTGAATATTTCCGACAGCCGTGCACGTTAATACCCACACACGTACACCGGTCTCGGGATTAACCAATCATTTGTTTCGCTTTCGATGGTATTGTTTCCTTTTTTTTTTTTCTCAAAGTCCTTTGCATTTCCGTTTCGACATCCTGCGATCGAAATGTTGTCCATCTATCGGTGTCTTTTCCATTCCCTTGCTCCCTCTCTTATTGCATGGCTGCTGCTGTGTCCTCGTTTTGATAGTAGACGTACTCGAAGACGCGTGGAATAAACGATATCGAGCATCGATGCGCTCCCAGAGCCACAAACACACGTACACACACACACACGTGCGCGCGGGAGCGCGCAAAAACACAAGGTGCATTCGAATCATACGCCTCGACAAGCCCATGTTTGAACTGGTAGCGAGATTCGAAGCCTCGCACCGAACTGGCTTTGTACGAGTTACACTGTAGAGCTCATGGTCCTGTACGTATATTAAAACACACGTGTACACGTGACGCGAGCGGAGCCGCGAAAATTCTCGCACAGAAAACGGGAAGATGGATGATACTTTTCGTTGCGTGTATAAAAATGAAACGTAAACATGGATTCTTATTACTTTTCTTGAATCGGTTTGAAAAATACTCGATGATTTATTTTTTTGAAGACGTAGAAGCACGATTAAAGTTAACGAGTAATATCGAGACGCGATAAGCTCCGTGGAAAAATTAGAAATTGCCGATTAACGAATAGAAATATCGAATATACCTTGCGGTTACAGATTAATCCGACAATCGCGAGTTGTTGTATTAGAAAAGTGATCACTGGCCCGCTACAGACATGTATCTATGGATCTGTACGCTAGAAAGCTCGATTGGACGCACATCGTGGCTAATTTTCTGTTTTATCTTTCGGTTACTTTTTTCGTTGCCCGACACGTTCTGCCTGATACGACACAAGGAATGTCATCGAGTCACCTGCACAACACGTACTTGCACATGGTCTTGAGAATGGAGCACACGCGAGTGGCGCACGATATTCGAATGTCCATCGCGAGAGGAAAGAGACCGCAAGCTCTCGTTCGTTCGGATCGTTTGTTCGAGGCGACGCGAGCTCGAACGCTTGAACACGTTTTTCGATTTTCACGAACGATTACGTTCACGGTCTCTTTGTTCTTCGTAAGTGTTCCCGACACACGCATCGTACCGTGAATCTCACCACCGTTACGCACAACGCGCGAAAACCGCGCGTCGCATGCTGGCTGCTCGCAAAAAGAAAGAAAACACAAAATTTAAAAGAAATACAAACTAAAAAAGCTTGGCGAGACCAAGCCGACCGTACCAACACGAGACTCGTCCACTGAATGTGTGTGTGTGTGTGTTTTTGTTGAACGCCAAAGACACGTTTCTTGCACGGGGCGCCCGCACGAATTATACTCCCTCTTTTCCTCTTGAGCAACCAAAAAAAGAAACATGAATTAAGAAAATGTAGATACGCGTTTTCAGTACCTCGAGCGGAGACTCGCAACTGTCCGCTTGTTCCTTGCGAAGCTCCATATTACTTTTCTGCCGATCGTTCTTTTGTCTGACTCTCGAGATCTTGATTCCTTTTCGTTTCCGTTTCGTCGTTTCTTTTGCCGTAGCGACTCGCTCATCCTCTCGTTTGCTCGCGACTCTTACTCGTCCAAGACACCAAACTCTCTCGCATCTATCCACCCAGAAACCGATCCCGACGCGACCGACCAACGGGGCCCGATTAACAAACGAATATTTTAAGAATCTGATCCCTCTCTTCTTGCCGATATGCATCGATCATAATACGGTGACGAGAATATTCACGGGCCCAGTGGTCGTCGCGTCAGACTCGATTGTAATCACCGTTCGGACCCTTGGTACGCGATCGATCGTCGATCATCCGATCGATGATCGTTACGAGTACGAGTATCCAATTTTGTCGACGTTATCCCATTACACGAATACCACGTGACCGTACTACAGCCGTGTGTACACACCAGCAACACGTAGTAGGTATACGATACCGTGTAAAGCCATTCCTACTCACCTACCCCCCAGAAATATAAAAGAGGAAACAATCTCTTTAATGTTACCATGATACCGCACACACCCGGTAGCGTCGTACAGATACACGTATCTAGGTTAAAGCTAATATTATACACCTATGTGTGTCTTTCACTCTCTTTCACTCTCTCTCTCTCTCTCTTTGTCGACTGGAAAATGTCGCTATTTATATATACACCGTGTAACTTACAGATTTCGCACTCTATTTTACACGTCTTGTACGTACGGGGTGATTCGCTAACTTTGTCGCAGTAAATTCGACGAGAATATATTAAAGACATCCTTGGTATAATTTTTCGTCACATTCTTCGATTCCAAGAGAATTTTAACCTAGATGGAAAACAGACATAAAAAGTCTTTTTTACGTGTCCTTCCGAACAGTCAAACATAAACGAATTACATTTTTCTTGGAATTTTAAAAAACAGATAATAGCCGTCGAAATACTATTTACGTACCGTTGAAGTACTTGTTACTTTGAATGATATTTGCAAGAATTTTTCAGGTATCGTCTAGCTACTTAAAACTTAGACAGAAACGCAGCTAACGCTGGGTCGACTTTGACGGCTGTCTGATCAGTGGCGGTCCGTTTCCCCTTTGCGCTCGTGCATTTCGATGCTGTACAAGGTGGAACTTAAAAAAACGAAATTCGTCGAAATGTCGTGAATACTTTCGAGCGATATTTATGTAACGAAGCTAGCGAACCACCCTGTGTATTCGTATTCGTATATCGATCTTCGTCGCGAGAATCACGGACGTTACATTCGAACCATGCCAATTTTTGAAAGAACGCGTTACTTTTATTTGTCATAAGTTGTAATTACTCGAATATATATATATATATATATATATATATATATATATATATATATAAATATTTTTTTTTTTATACATTTACAGTGCCATCGATACGTAAACTGTACCGATGTCGGAAACCGGGAATGCAGCGCGGAATTGAAATTTAAACACCATTTGAAAATTGTTACAAAGATATCGATGATGCTCGCCACGCTCGACTATCATCGATGGACCTAATCGTGTCAGTGTGATCGCTGGCGACGCGAAACGTTCACGTATCGATGGCCAGGTCTCGATAGCGAGAGATAGAGCTCTCCCCTTTCTCGATTTCGAGGTGAAAGACGCGAGAAAGGGGATGGCGGATGGCGAGGAGCGTCGATCTTCGCCGATCCGCGAGAACACGGGCGCGTTTCTATATGTAGGCTTGTACGTCTGTCTGTTTGTCTCTGTCGGCCGTGTGTTTGTCAGTGTATGCATTGCAGTTCCATCGGCAAAGCGAAGCGTACAAGAACACGCTGAAGTACATGAACATGTGCTTCACGGGGATGTTCACCGTCGAGTGCATACTGAAGATCGCCGCTTTCGGCGTGAGGGTAAGCTCCACTATGCCAACAAACCCCTCATCGAACAGATTACCGAGAAAACGTACGCGCTTAGAGACTAGCCGGCTCGAGCGTCGCTGCTTCGAGCTGGCTTTCACTGAAAAATAATTCTGCGACGTTATTCGAATCCGTGAAAGGTCTTTCTTTCTCTTTCCCGTTTTCACGATCGAACAAATCGTATTCGTATCACGGATTATCGCGCAAGACGCAAAACAAGTGACGGAGGAGTCGTTTACCGTAAGCGGAATAAAAACGAATGTCGCAGGATTAGTTTTCGGTCGTAGAGTGGTAAGTTTAAGCTTGTTAGAAGGACATTAGAGTGCTGTACTATTATTTTTCTTTGTTTTTTTCTTCTGGTAAGATAAGGTAGTATCTTGTTGATTCATGTACTCGATAATGTCCGTGTATCGCAAGGATACATATCCGAGTATATAGATCGCAACTACTCGTCGTTAGACAGTCCTTTTTTTTTCCAGAGCTGAACAGACGCTTAAAGTCGAGGCTGTTCCTAGTAATTGAACTTTTCTTGGTTCCCGTCCCTTCTAAAATCCCCGTTTTCGTACCAACGTTGTCGCGAGAAGTCGCTGTATTTTCGAAAAATATAAACAAGTGAAATTACTAGGAATGTAATTTTGTCCTTATCGTACCGTAGTCGAATCTGCAGACCGCGGCGTATGTTCGGCTCTGTAGACGATCCGAACGAGTTTGTACGTTCGTGCACGCTCGTTGCTTCGCGAGGATTGCAGGATCGGGAAGATTCGAAGCTCGAAGTACGACTGAAATCGTTCGGTACCGTCGCAGCTAAGACTCTTTTCCGTTCCGTTCTCTTCGCCGACTCGAATACCTTTGACTCGACACGAGACGCCGCGCTGGAAGTATTTCAGATCACGACCCGAACTCTTCGAAATGTTGTGAAATCTGATTACGCGCAGTTGAACTGGAAGCGCGCTCTGCGTTAAATGAAACTCGGTTAAATAATTCAAAAGATTCACGGAAGAATAATAGCGAACAGTCTCGTTTCGCCGTTGCGCGCGCTTCCACAACATCTGACTTTATTTACAAGTACACAATCACACGTACAACACCAACACGAAACGCTCGCATTCACGCAACGATCATTACTGGACACGAAGAGACGAAGCATAACTGTCACTTCAAATTATTTTTAGTTGATCTCTCTTTCTATCTATTCATCTATCTATCTATTTATCTATCCGTCTTCTGTTTCTGGCTAGTTATTTTCATTTCTTTTTAATCAATTTTGCCCACGAGATACGCCGAACGGGGGGGGCTACCGTCTCGAGGAAGTAATTCCGCTGACAAAAATACAGCAAAAGCAACCCTGAGAGTTCCCGTGCATGCTGTCTCCGTCTTGTTGCATCCGCACGTGATCACTGCACGTTGACATGTTTTTTTATCTTTGCATGCGTACACCGCGACTTTCGCGCCGGGTATCGATCGTCTTGGATCGATCGCGAAGACCGATACCTGGCGTTGAAAATTGCTTGTTGTTGCAACGACTGCGTGTTATGGGCCAGCGACGATGAACGCTATCGCAACGGATCGAAAACTTTTTCGACCAGTGCGGCGAGACCGATGGCGTTTCAATGTTCGCTGCTCGAAGACCCGAGAATGGAAAATTCGTATATCCAAGAAAAGTACAATACGAGAAAATGTTTCAACGCAAAAGGACGTCTTTCTTCGAAAAGTTTGAGCCATGGATCGTCGAAAGGATACTTGCGATTGTTTAGAATTGAATTTTAAGGGCAATCATCGTCGCGATTTCCTACAAATTTCTAGCAGCGATCATTGACGATGAAACGCGATCACTCGAAGCTCGGTCAATTTTCGGACGATGACGAATCTCCGATAGATTCCGTTTTTCCGTTACACGCATGTTAATCCTATCAGCGTCGGGATGGACCAAGTTACCAATTCTACTCGCGCACTCGCGAGACACACCCACACCCACATCCACAGATACGTACATGCACACGCACACGCACAAACATATACGGAAGATTCGAGCGTCGTTTCGCGTGCGTCGTCGTTGGAGACACGAACGCAGAAACGGCGAGCTGCCTCGAAAGATCGCTCTACGAGAGATTGGTTAGACTTGCTTGTTGGGTAGTTCGAGAGAGAAAAGAATATTGCCCTAACGAATCAACGGTCGCCGCGCATTTATCGCAACGGAATTACTTGGATCTTTCGAATAATCGTACATCTTTTTCTAGATTAATCCTCGCGAATTCGGTTGTAACGTTCATCGATTTTGAGAATGATCTTAACATGGGTCAGTCGTGTCCGCGAAACGAATATTTGTTCATGAATAGACACGTGCGTTTATCTGCGAGTATCAATTACTAAAAAAAGAATGAAGCATAGTTTGACGGAGGAGCGGCTAAAAGTTGGTACGAACATAAACGAGGCTAAAAGTTGACCAAGTAACTCCGTTTCGAAATGACTAACGAAGCTCGACAGGCGAAATCGGGCAAACTTTCTTTCGCACTTCGGTCTTTCCCGTTGTTTTTGGAGAACGTTATCCGGACGTCCGTGTGGTCGCAAATGAGAGAAAGTTTGCGCGACCTGTTCGGTGTTCAGCCACGGAAGAAACTAAAAAGACAACCGGGGGCGTAACAACGAGTTAATTAATCGAGTAACGAGAACCAATCGACGTCGGGATAAACCGTGTTATCGAGGAAACAGCCCGCCTCGACAGCTGACAAGATCCGGTGATTTCGTGGTAATCCGAAAGATTCGAGATTGCTTTTGTTATTTCTGATTCGTCGACGAGGGGACTACTCGTTCCCGAAAAGATTGTTTATGAAAGTACGCGCGGAAGAATGAACGAATAGCAAAGAAAACGAACAAATGCAAGGCGGGCAGCGATGCAGAATCTTCGCTTTTGTTACGTCTGTCTGTTGGGTGTATTTTGTAGTATCACGAGGCGCCACCAATTCTATTGGACACCTTGACCGTCGTGAACGTGATCGTCACCCTCCTTTTCCTCATTGAGTGCATCCTTAAACTCGTCGCCTTCGGATGCAAGGTATAAAAAAAAGCCTCTTAATTATTAACTCCACTAACTTGAATCACACGCAATTAGATTATGGTACATACCGTGCATAGCGATGGGACTAACGATTCATACGGAGGTCTCGATAAATCTCGAGTTTCGTTTAAATACATTTTTTTTCGAATCGTTTCATCGATCGATGGTATCGAACCATGTATCAGTCCCATCGCTAACCGTATATTACGTGTTGTCTCTTGTTTTTTGTTTTTTTTTTTTGTTTTTTACTTCTCCACCCAATCGGTCGATCACCCTTCGTGCTCGCGGAGATAGCGATATTTCGCGAGGGAAAACGTCGCACGGATAGATCGTATAACGTAAGGAAAAGACAAAGAAGCAAGCGTTCGACGTAGCCCCAGAAACGAAGATTGTCATAGTGAATCGTGGCTGGTACATAAAGCGATGGAACGCGAGCGAAAGATTCGCTTTTCTTGATTCTCTGAAGCAAGTAGGAATCTTTGCGAATGGTACGACCCTCCTTCCTGCTCTTCTACCTCTTTAACAATTACGATGCAACAGCGATCGTGCATCGATTAGCTTCGAATAGCACGCGTGAAGACACTGGAATGAAGTATTTTTAAGCTGACGCATTTGTACGCGTCGGTCTTCTTGGTGAAATTTCGTTTCCACGCGTGCTATATGTAAGCTAGAGTTTTCTTGAAGTTGATCTTTGAACCGTCCTCTGTATCTTGAGTATAAAACTAGAGTAACGTGGCGATAGTACCGAGAAGCTGAGAGATAGAGCCGAGATTGTTACGTCGATACTCTTGCTCGCTTGCATCTTTCGAACCGCCAGAGGGAAGCGACCCCTTTCCCGACCCGGAAAACGATCAAAACCAGAGCTTCCTCGTAAAATATTTCTCTCTCTAGTTTGCTTGCTATTACCGGCATGCTCCCGTAGATACTTCTTTAGAAGAGATCCCGTCACTACTCGAGCCGATCTCATCGATCACTAAAAGCGCCAAACTCGTAATTATAATACCTCAAGGTGATCTTTCGCTTCGACGCTTCGAAACATGTGCTTCATATTTGAGAATTTTTTCCAAGAACGTATAAACTGCACTCTTTTCTTCAAATTTGATACATCATTTTGCCGATAACTTGAGAAAAAATCCAGTGATTCGTAGAACAAGAAATACTTCTCAGAAAATAGAAAAATAATTTGAGAATCCTCTCTCAGCTCTGTTCATTTTCCGACGAGTTGGAACTAGCGAAACGAAACTAGAGAGACAGAAACAGGTAGAATATTTTTAACGCGAGCTTTCGATCGCTAGCTTCTCGCGTACTCTCCACTACCTGTATCGTAGAGATCAGTAGTACTGTATTCGTTGTGTGATCAGTTGCATCGATTAACGTTGAACGCCATAGTTTTTTGATATCCGAGTCCTTCGTGTAGACATGCCGGGATACTTTGCTAATTGTTTATCCGAAACTAATCCTCTCTAATCGTTCACGATCACGCGAGAAGAATTTTGACAACGAAGAGATATGGCCTTTACTCAAAACACCGTACGAAAGCACGATTCCTCACACACTTTAGTTTGTCATTCATAATTAGCATTTACATTCGTCTAAGAGTGCGTACAAACATGCAACGCATACATACGGACATATTTACATACGCACATACTATACATACATAAACACACATACATACGCACATACAATAATGCGCATACACCAATATAAAAACACACGACAAACTTACAGGAAAGAACGGCGAGCGTTCAATATTCTTTCCGAATTAAGACTCGTAGTGTCTTTTTTAGCGCTAATTTCGCAGACATCTTACACACTTGAAAGTCATCCAAGTTTGCTCGAATGGTTTGTTGATTAGTGAAAATCGTGATACCGGAGAGGAACATTCGTTAAATTGAACAAACGAAAGAAGACTTCGAGCAAGCTTGGAGACGATATCAGGCAAGACTGATCGCGTTGAGCGGTTTTCTAATCGATCTCTTTTTCGATTCTTTCGCGAACAGAATTTCTTCAAGGATGCTTGGAACACGTTCGACTTCATCACGGTAATCGGCAGCATCGTGGACGCCCTCGTGATCGAGTTCGGGGTACGTAAAGCTTCGGCAACTACCATTGCGTAATCGCTAAACCAAGTATACGGTTGTACCTTAATTATTTCCACTTTTCAATTAGATTCGAACAAGAAATTTCTAAACAGTTGTACTAAACGATACAAGATAAACTATCGACGTAACGTAGTACGTATTAATAATTGAAAAGAAGGTTAAATAATTATAGTGCAACTCTTTAAATGTTGATGCGAGGAGAAGTAGTAACGTCCAGATTATGTTACCCAAACGACGAAACCCACCGATTCCAACTTAATCGTATGACCCAGTGTTGCTTGATTGTATATCTCGAGTATTGTCTTTCCTTTAACCCCTTTGCTGCTTTTTCTAGTTTCAGCAACCGTGTACAGAGATGTATATGTACATGTACATAAGATAGGCTAGCAGGTAAATAACCGGTTTTATTCGAATCCCTATAATCTCATGTATCTTATACGTAACATTATGCTGCATTCATACGCTACACACTCACATTGTACATTCCAACATCTGCACCGTATAAGATGGCTATGGTGTTCGCATTGCAACAACCATCGTTCAAAGGAAAACGCTTGTCCGAGTGTAACTATCGCAAAAGGAAAGATTGATAATTTTGCGAAGCTTTCGGACATTTTCGGTTGCCTCGAACGATTCGTAAATTTTCATGAAATTTCAACTGAATTTTCGAGCAATTTCCTTTCGAACAGCTTTCACTTTCGCATACCAAGAAAATGAATTCTCTGAACAACCAACACAATTACAGCACTTACCCGTTAAGTATTTTTTTATTCCTTTGTAGTAGAAGTATATTTGAGACCCGAGGTAAAACAACGTACTTACTTTCCACACACGAATACTCCAGTAAAGAGCCAGATAAGCCGACCGTCATCTTCGGCGTCGACGACGCATCGAAACCGCGGAGTCGAGTTAAATCGCTCCTTTAAATTGCTTGTACTACCCGTAGATTCGATGAATCGGCAGACATCGACAAGTATTTCGTTGGCTAACTTGCTTTCGGACGTTGAGGTAAGCCAAGTTATCCGTTGCCAAACTTGGCGCGCAAAACATTTCTTTGGAAGCGGTTTCGCCGTCGCGGCAGCTTCGTTTAAAGTAAATTGCCGCTAGTTTTATTCTGTATTTGCGTATTAAGAAGCTCAATGTGTACAAGCCGTCCAATCAATCCAATAATTTTGTATTGTCGTGTTTTCTTGTGTTAGGAGCGGTTTTCGAGTGTGCCCAGTGGCGGCCAACTAGGCGAAAAAAAGGTATAAATTTCGTCGTATTTACGATACAGACGTAATCATTGTTAATCAAAGAGTTCCTAATAAAGAGATAAGTATATTCGAATCTTTTATCGAACACTTGATTCTGTCGGTGATCTCGCGAAATTTAAAATTGGGAAATTTATTATCACGATCTTGGTACACGACCATTTCCCACGATAAATCACAAAAGAGATATTCATACATTGCATAAATACACCCTTGACACGTCGCGTCGGCGTCGTTACGGCGACGACACCATGTTTACACTCTCTGCGCATACACAGATCACACAAGACAAACTCGAATAGCATGTGGATGCGGTATTAACGGGCAAACAAAATTTTCGCTTCGATGCTGTCAGAGGTTGGACCACAGCAAATGGGTTTAACGAACGACGTTAGAGAAACGACGCACGGTGAAAAACCTGTGCGTTGCATCGCGACACCCAGATGTTTTATTTAGTGACTTGTTTGTTAAATCTCGATCGCTTTCGATCGACGCGTTCGCAAGGAAAATGCAGTGATATGAAATATTTCGGTGGGAGGTTGGTAAACGCAGGGTACAAGAAGACGCAGAGTTGTATAGCTTCGTTCGTGCATCGAGACGGTTCCCGAAGCCTCGTTGAACGAACGATCGAATCCTTCGTCGCGCGTCTAACGAACCTCGATCGTTGCACGCGCGAAGCTCGACTCGAGTTCCCGATAAGGTGTCGGCATTTTTGGGGATTAAGTGCAATTTTCTCTGTCCCCTGCAGGAGAACTTCATCAACGTCGGCTTCTTGAGACTATTTCGTGCGGCCAGACTGATCAAACTGCTCAGACAGGGATACACGATACGAATTTTGCTCTGGACCTTTGTACAATCCTTTAAAGTGAGTAGAAATCTGCGAACTTGGTAGAATTCGAGCGACAGAGATTTCCTTCTACGATTACGCTGAAAATGATTCCGAAGAGATTTCTGTCTTTCTTTTTTTTTTCTATCGAGTCGAGAGCGTTTGCGTATTGTATGTACAGGTCGAGAAATGATCACGATCCGATTTAATAAATTTGTTGTTTTTGTAGGCTTTGCCTTACGTTTGTCTCCTCATCGCGATGCTGTTTTTCATCTACGCGATCATCGGTATGCAGGTACGTATCGCTCTCTCGGAGTACTCGGTTGAACGTTTAACACCGAGACCTAATTTTTCTGATCCCGTTTCAACGCCGAATGGACGAACAAACGAGTTACGTTGATTCGTTGTCTTTTATACTTGAACGAAATGAGACGAGACGAGACGAGACGAAATCGCACCGAACGGAACGAAACGAAACGAAACCCGAACCGTTGTAGACTGCTCGGTCAAACAAGACGAACGATACGATTTACAGGAAGAGAAACGTTAAACGATCCTCGGTTGCAGTGGCGATTAGTGATACATGAAATTCCCGTTGTCAGGTCTTTGGAAATATATCGAACGATCCAGGAACAGCGATCGATGAACACAACAACTTTCAGTCCTTCTTCGCTGGTCTTATGTTGCTTTTTCGGTGAGTCGAGCAGCTAAACGCAGCGAAGTTCAAAGACGGGATAAAGTGAATCATTGTTGAACGAGAAAAGCTACCGATCCGTCAAACAGTTTCGTTCGACGTAAAAACAAAAACGTAGAAAAATAGAAGAAAAATAAGCAGTTGGCCAGTCGTATTTCGGTTCCATTCGAGTAGATCTTTGATAATATAAACACGAACGGATGTAACTAGAATTGAATACCCAAAGGAAAACGGATTCCCGAATTTCTGGATATTATTGCTTCGAACCAAATTATTCGGTATACGTATAAGTAGAAAAGTATCGACCGGTGCAATTTACGCGTTTGTTTACGAAGTGTTTATCAAGTATCGCGTACTTTTCGCACCTCTGAAGCGAACTGTTTCAAAGAACGAAGGACGCGAACGGTCGGTAGCAAATTATGGTAGAGAGTATATTGGGCTGTTGGCATGAGGTTTAAGGAGAGTAAGCTGCTCGACGTGTCAGTCTGTTGTAATTAAACCCTGCAAATTAGACTCCCCATAGACAGTTGGTTCCATAGAGATGCTTGCCCTAGATTGTTGAAGTTGGTCACGTTACAGCGGTACTCGAGAGAACGGGGGAAAAAAATTGAGGGGAATGCTCGAACTAGTCGAGTAAACGCAATCTGCATAAAACGGAGGATGCTCGATATTCGATTGAACGGATCGGATCGTATGGGATCGGATCGGATCGAATCGGATCAAGTATTCTCTCGAGGTACTCGCGTATCGATTCAAACACGAGAGCAAAAGAAGTTCGTAGCTCGCAATTAATGTGGTGGATGCGTATTGTTAGAGGGTAGATCGACACTCTATCACTGTGTACACTTTTATTAACTCGAACATGGTAGAAACCGAACGTATTATCAAGAAACGATCGATATTCCAGATATTAAGGTTTCCTCGATGGAAAATGTCGAATACACGCGGTAACCGAATAAGACCGCCCAAATTTATCATTCGTCTAGAAAAAAGAAAAAAACTTGTTGCTAATGCCGTGCTCGCCCTTTGGCCGCGGCCCTTTTCTTTTTCTCGGTCTCAGATATTCGGTAACATCGCGCTGGAGCCCGAGACTTCTATTACCAAGCACAACAATTTTCAAAGCTTCATTCAAGGTCTGATGTTGCTTTTTCGGTAAGTAGCACAACACAAACTACGATAAAGATAAAGAGAGAACGGCTATTTTCTTTTAATTCCCAATGATTTTTTTTTTCTGTCCGTATTTCGAGCAAGTTCGCAAACAGAAAGAGCACAGCTAAAGTTCACGCTCGCGACTACTGTATATACAAATTGAAATGACACAATCCTTTGTAGACCGGCAACATTTCGATGCTCGAATACGAGTCGATTCTGCGAGCGATTCTATCGAATTCGTTGGCGCTCGATGTTCCTTTCCACAGACGATTCCTAAGAAATGTTGGACTACAGAGGATTAAAACTCGACGGCACAGCTTTCGCAAAATTGGCGGACAAAGACTTTTTCGTTTCATTCGACGAATCGAGGTGATGGTAATTCGTATCGTCGGAACACTGCACCACTTGAAATTACTAACACGTAAACATAAACGGGCCGAATTACGCCTTATCGCGGATAGTTTCAACTAACACGCAGTAGAATGATCGAGTAGAGAATTGAGTTACCGATCAAGTATCGCTTTTGGTATTGCATTCGATTACGAAGGAACAGTTTTTCGAAAGTATAACCACATATTCTGCTTGTCGTATTCCAAACAAATATTATCGCGTATGCGTTTCTGGCGAAAACAATTTACCAATTTTGTAAACGTCCAACCTGCGAACCTATTCGATCTAAACGTGTCAATTATCGATGAAGATCTAGCTTTAGAAAACCATCGAGTAGATTTACGATGCGCGCGTATACGCGATAATATCTGATCAGTTTTACCATGCATGATGTGTTTTCGAGGCGAGTCTAATTCCGTGTTCGACTATCGTAACATTTGCTATAGTAAGTAAGTTGAAATTGGCAGCGATCCGTGAACGTGAAACGGAAGCGTAGAACGCTTGAGATTTCATCCAGTATTTTGCATGTAGTACGAAAGTCGACCGAACCGATGATTCCCGAGAACGTCTTCCAGCGATGCAACGCTCCAGTGAGAAATAGTCGTGAGTTTTCTGGAAGCGTCGCGAAGGTTGAAAGATCTATCATCGGCAGCTCCTAAGTTTGTTGAGAGGGTTGTAATCGAACGCGAGTGGAAACGAGATGGAGCGAGCGCAAACGAGTGATAGAATCGGTATTTTCAGGTGTGCTACCGGCGAGGCGTGGCCGAACATCATGTTGTCCTGCATCAAGGGTCGCCCTTGCGACGTTAAAGCCACGAAACAGGACACTGACGGCTGCGGCTCGAACATGGCGTACGCGTACTTCGTCTCGTTCATCTTCTTCTGTTCGTTCCTCATGCTGAACTTGTTCGTCGCCGTCATCATGGACAACTTCGATTACCTGACGAGGGACTCGTCGATTTTGGGCGCCCATCACTTGGACGAGTTTGTCCGGATCTGGGCCGAGTACGATCCGAACGCGACTGGCAAGATCCATTACACCGAGATGTACGACATGCTCAAGAACATGGATCCGCCGTTGGGGTTTGGCAACAAGTGCCCGAACCGGCTCGCTTACAAGAAGCTCATCAGGATGAACATGCCGGTGGACGTCGACGGGAAAGTGAACTTCACCACCACCCTATTCGCCCTGATACGCGAGAATCTCAGCATCAAGATGAGATGCGGTGAGTAACCACCCCCGCGTCGCGTCGATTGGATTCGCGCGCTAGTCGCGCAGAGATCAAACGAAACCGTTACGTTCCATTATTTTTATACGAACCAAATTTAACCTGCAAACGCGAATATCAGTTATGTAACAAGTTCGTTCGATATTTAATTACCACTCTCCCATTGTTACCAATGATACGATAGCCGACGAGATGAATCAAGCGAACGAAGAACTGAGAGACACGATCAGGAGTATCTGGCCTTTACAGGCGAAAAAGATGTTGGACCTTTTGATACCTAGGAACGAAGGTAAGGATCTCTTTCGAGCTGTTACACCGTTGCTCTGGACGACTCTCTTTAACGAAACCGCCTTCGTCGTTCTGTTTCAGAATTAAACAGAGATAAGCTGACCGTTGGTAAGATATACGTCTGCCTCCTGATACTCGAAAGTTGGAGGACGACTAGGTTTGGTCAGATAGAATCGACCGGACAGGTGAGTGTCCCATCAATTTCCTATCGAGTCTCACTCGTTCCATAATCGAAGACCCTAGCGATAATTTCCTCTATTCGAACAAAATGCCTCTTCGTTGCGTTCCCGCGATTCGCTCGTTTCGTCGATTCGACCACCTGTCCTCGTATTACTCGCGAGTCGAGCTAGCTATACGCGATTGATACGCGATCGCGTATCGCGGGAACCAATTGAGGATTCCGTTCGAATGAATGTTTGTCGTTGGCTTCGTCGTGGTAGGATTCCACACCGGCGGTGTGGAAGCCACGTTTCGAATAGAAAATCTCCAAACATTCCAAGTAGCTTCTTGACAACCCAAGGAAGCTTGGCATCGCGAACCATCTATATCGTCGACGCAAAGTACAGTCTGAGAACGAAAACGTGAAAATAATGCTACCGAAAAGCAACACATGTATTCGTATTTTTAGGCGCATTTTACATTTATTCGAAATTGCTTCGAGATCAAATAAAAGTACGCGTAGGCGCGCGCGTATGTTATTCTTCAATCTTTCCAACAAACAAAAGAGAATATCAATTTATTCCGTTAAATCTTACCGAAAGTACACGATTCCAAGCTTCCATCCCGAGTCCTTACATTCCGATGCTATATTACTGTGTGCTCAGTAGTGCTGAGAATTTTTAAAGGTTCATATATATTTGAACAAGTAACGAAAAATCGAGATTCTTAGCCGCGTTCTTTATCCCAGCGTGGTCAGCATTCGATACACGAACATTTTGAAGAGCGAAACGCCATGCAACATTGCGATCGCGAATCGGATACATTCGTTCGTCTCGCTGGGCTAACGAACCAGCTCCGATTAGTTAACTATTACTTACGAACAAAAAAGACGTTCAATCTCTGTCTGTTCAGTCGAATTAGCCGAGTCAATATGTGTAGAAACAGTTCGATGTCACCCCTCCTGAACGTCGCAATACGAATTTGATGCAACCGATTAACGTAGATCGTTCCAAATCGATACATCGTTTGCAGACGTCTTCTTTTTACGAATTTCGTAGCAGAACCGATAACGAGAATCGTGACTTTATCCGTCCACGCGAAAGAATGAGTTTCGTTCGATGTTTCGTCATTATGGCACACGATGGATCGACGTCGATATGGACTACTCATAGAAAATTAGGACAATATGATTTTTGAATGAATTACGATTAGAACATTAGAGAAAAATCTGTGTGTTGAATTTATACGTGTTTTCATTAAAGAGTCATAGAACGAGAGTACAACAGCGAAGTTTGAACCTTCGATTTAATGGAGAATAGAATTACGTTATTATTATTATTATTATTATTATTATTAATGTTATTATTATCATTATTATTATTATTATTTATTATTATTGTTATTGTTATCGTTATTATAATTGTGACATTAGTGTAGGAGTAATTTATATTCAAATTTTAACTACAGACAATACTTTTATGTACTTATATACCAGACAAGAGGATGTTCACGCAGCTCTCAATCATCTCTTTGTGTCTTTCTCTTTATTTTCCAGAACGATAACGATCTTATCGATAACGATAATGCTGGGCAAAGTCCTGCAGCCCAGGCGGTAGTACTTACTTTTTCTCTTACTTAATATCATCTTAATACGGTTTCTTTCGTTTCGTTTTTTCTTTGTACATTCACGTTTCTTTTACCTCTACATTGTTTTACACGTACCCCACGTCCACTGCGAAGGATCGTCGAACATATTTTCAGACTTCGATTAAATATCGTTTTCGTCCAGACGACCAGAACAAAAATTCGACTCGAGCCGCGCGAATCCTTCGCAGCGAACGATTCATTTTATTCTGTACATAAATACATTCGTTTTATATTTAACTAATCCCTAACCCATGCAGAGACACAGTAGCCTGTCGTGTACATAAAGTAACTAAAGCTTAACTAAATCTTTACCTTGAACCGTTTGCCTAATTATCATCAATTATCATCGTATTCGTTCAAACGTAGAATCGGCAGTTGTATCTCTGCTAAAGTTTTAATCTTGTACGTTTATTTTCTATGCATCGATACACCGCACACAAAAATCCACCGACACTCGTTACACTACTACATTTTCGTTCGAGTTACGTTCCGTTCACATCCGTAGATCTATATTCTTTCCTTCACTGTTTCCACTATCACCGAATCACAAACCAAAGAACGACGACGCAACAGCGGCTGCCGCGTTGCGATAGAAAATCTTCTAGGTTGCGTTTCCTTCGAATATTTATACAAAAGAAAAGACTATCGTATTCGAATTAATTCGAATCGTAACGGTGATGATTATTAAGTCTGTAAACGATTGAAATCTGCTGAGAAATATCGCTATCGAGATTAACGGACGCTCGTCTTCGTTAATATTTACCAATCGTTTTTATCAATTCTAAATGAATAAATTTAAAAGGTAATAAATGAGAGAAAGCGAGTCAGCCGCAATTGCGATCAGAACGGAACCACTATCACACTTGAACTTTTCTTCTTTCTTAGGCACTTGATATATTAGCGAAAGTACGAACTAGAGCATCTGTCGGGTTCACACGATCTATAGAACTTTTAGAAACTTTAGTCTTTCCTTTAAAAGAATTTCCTTTCTAACAGCACGTTTCCTCTTCAGATAATAAGCAACTAGTCTAGGATAATACTTGAACTATTAGTTGAGTAGCGCGTTCGATTTTATACATCGTCCAGGACGAACCCAAGGATCGCTCGTAAACATTTGAAAATTGCATAATCGGAGAATTAATTCGCGGAAAGCAAGTCGATGCATAAAATCGGAACGCTCTAAATTTTTTTAGTCGTCGCGTCGGTATCGCGTGGGTGTCGCTGGCACGTGCACCCACGCGTAATCGGCTCTTTGCCCCCTCGAGAACACGATATAGCTGTGTGCAAGTAAGTTACCTAGTTCATCGAACCTCGTAGAACGAAATTAGTTCGAAAAAAGAACACAAATTGGAGAAACTTGATCCTCGATTATAGCTCGCCTTTTGCCTCGACTATCATTCCATTAGTCACGATTTAGCGATCACCGATATCCGATTGATTCTTCTCTTACGATTAGACCAATAGTCACCCGAATCCGTGTCTGTTTCGTCCACATAGCGTCCGACATAGTCGATCTTAGATTTAGCATTAGAAATTTAGTTTTCCGATCCCTTGAGACCGATCGTTTCCGTTACCAAATTCTGCTGCAACCGTCTGTCTTTCTTACCTTATTTCTTTTTTCTTTTCACTTCTGTTCCTTTGTTCTTTTTGTATCGTACAACAGCTCTTGATATTACCGTAGTTGGATCGAGGAACTCACTTCTGATTCGACGATACTTCGCAAGCAGCGAAGATGCTTTCACCAAAGGAAATACATTGTTCTCGACGTGCGTTCCTCGACTTAGAGATATTCAGCGTTCTTGCTAGTTGGTCTGAATTAGTTTTTTCTTCTCTCTTTTCTTTTTTTCTACATTTCGTAATTTGTCTGTGACACTTTCCGAAGACCTTCCGTCACCACGTAGCTTAGAAACTGTACTAGTCTAGAAAGTTTTGATCGAGTACCGTTTCTGTAGACTCGTTGCCTGATTAGAATAGTTCTCTTTCGCGATGGCTTAGCGTCTCGCAAAGAGTAAAGTTAGTAAAAAATGATGTCGATTTCGATTAGGTCGATCGAAGGCGGTAGCTCTGTATATGTATGAAAATCGTTGATACGTTCGATGCTGAAGGGTTTTGTTTGAAAATACCCTTGACCTTTTATTTTTTCTTTTTTCTTTTTTTTTTTTTTTGTCAAAAAAGTTCACAATCGTATTCGACCGATATCACGCCTATAATTTTCGTAGGCATAGAGCTACCAGCCTTTACGAATTCGATCAAACTCGACGCCCAATTGCTACCGACTTTCCTCCTTTCGGACACTCGGTTTCCTCTCTAAGAACTACATCCGGTTACACGTCGCGACACGCAGACAACAACACGACAAACAACGATTACCACCACGAATCAAGTAGCTAGAATTCTACCAGTCGTTTTTCGAAAGATTCAGCGACGTCGATTTTTCTCGATACAAACGATGCTGTGAACAACCAAATGTTTATGCCCGCCGGCGAAAATTATTCGCTGCACGACGAACTGGGACGTTTAGCGTATCCGAGGGTAACGAGTCGATGTGAATAATTTGCGTCGTCGTGCCAGGAAAGAGGGGGCTTCCGCCAGGAAGCCTTTTCATCCGCACTCAAAGTAATTAGTCGTAGACGACGTGCTTGCGAACACTTTGCAAGTTCGTTCGTGTAGTCGAAACTATAGAGTTGAAAGTTGAAAGTAATCGATGGTAGATGAATCGTAGCCAATCGTGGCGTACTTCAAGCATGTCGATGAACCGAGTAAAAACGTACATTTCGTCCACTTACATATATATATACATACGTATGTATGTATAGATAGATACCTGTACATGTGTGTGTATATACGATATACAGAATTGTTAGCTCCCCAAGTAGCTCCCCGTCACAGTTGTTCGTTGTGATTGGCTTGAGTACTATGTTTGTCCACGACTTGTTCGCATATGTGTATTAATACCTTTAACGAAACGTCCGTGAATCGTCGGTGTTTTTTCACCGACGCGAAGGAAGCGATCGATATCGATTCGATGGAATTAGATCGATCTGAAACTCGGACACCGACGGTTCGCGCTACTTTGTTGCATGATTACTAACGTTTGCATTCCCACAGTGGCATAAACGTGACAAGTAAATAAATGTCTCTAATTGCATATGATAACCTTATGCTCGCCCATAAAACACTCGACAAACTAATATTATTATAATTAACATTCGTAACGTAAGATATAGTTTGGTTATGTTTTGACAAACATATACAGGCTTTGCCAGAGTGTGATCCACCGTCGCAAAACAATGAATTCGCAAACTTTTTCACTTTTATTACGTCTTTTCTACAATTCTATATAAACGCACACGCAAATTCGTAACGTGCATTGTCGCGACAGAATGGCAACGCGTTCGTTTAGCGACACTTTCAAGTGCACCATCACGATATACTCTTTCTTATATAGCATGGCCTCTTTTTTTATCAGAAGAATTTCTCTCTCCCTCCCCCTCTCTTTCTCTCTCTCTCTCTCTCTTTCTCTCTACTTCTACTCAATCTATCCATCTATCTACCTACCTATCTGTCTCTTGCAACCAATTCGTTCTCTTCGATTCCCTTCGAATCTTTGCATACGTACGCAAAAATGTATAAAGGTAAAAGAAAGAAACAAGACACCTGAAAGCCTGTATGTGCCTGTACATATTGTACGATAATACGGGTGGCTCGGGGATCGAACGACCATCCGAGCGTCGGCGTCGATCGACGAGAAACAAAACACACAATACCGTAGAAAAACGTATCGACCAGCTCTGATAGTTGGTGTGGTTTCGCACCTTCTCGACTTTAGCAATCGGCCTTCCTCAACTGCATACTGGACGTGACAGCGGTTAATCACACGGGAAATAGCCACGGGACCGGAAGTAGGGCGAACAGCCTCGAGCCGGTGGTACGTCCGTTGGACTCGAAGATCGATCAACACAAGGAGTTCAGGGAGGAAGACGATGGGGCCCTCGGGGTCCTCGCAGCCAGCGAGCACAGACGTCACCGTAGCATCAGGTATCGTCTTCCGCCTGTTTCTTTTTACTTTTGAAACAACGTACGCGAGAGTTGTTAAAATCGTCTCGTTTCTATTAATACAACACGAGTAGCTAATTAAGTCTAAGACGGATGGAGATGTCGCTAATCGACGATCGTTATGCTTTCAGAAATAAAAAGGTGAACTGGAAGATGTCCCACCAGTACGATATACTAGGCAGCAGCGGAGAGAGTAGCCAGGGAGGGGGTGGGTCTGGGGTTGTACCCGTAGTTAATGACGAGGATCGCGCCCCCGAGCTAGAGCCATTGCTGGCTGAGGTGCCCTCCCAGCAGGATCAAAACTACTACTACTACCACCATCACCATCACGACCAATACTACGATACCGACAAAGATCTATACTATGACCGTCACCACCACCACTACCACCACCATCACCATCACCACCATCATCATGCTCACCGACCACCCTCGTACTATCAACACCAGAATACCTACGCACCTCGCTCCTCGATCCGTTACCACAAGGTCTCTCGGCTCGATTCAATTAAACAAACAATCCTATCGCGATTTCGATAGCTCTAACCTCGATCGGTCGCGATTTACAACGAAACGAGTTGCCTAGAAAATTACCCTAGCTACGATTCAGCTAGGCCGGTCTAGCTCGCGAGGTGAACGTTTCGACTCCATCGACGGAGTCGTACGATATCGATCACCTCGAGACGGGCGTCTGGATCGCGGTAGATCGAGGATAATCGCTTCGATCGGGACGCATAGATACGCTCAGAGCCGAATTAAGTCATGCACTTTACCAAAGTATCGGTACCCTGAGTTATTCATTTCAAACTCATCGACATTGGTGTATATGGTTAAGTTTGAAGTATAGATGTTGATCGTTGCAATTCATTTTTTTTTTTTTTTTTTTTTTTTACAGAAGCGTACTTTTCCACTATCGACGTACACTTGTATTATTGAAGATTCAATTTCCTCGACAAATTCGATACGAAGGCTATATGCAGATATAGATATAAATATAAATAGATATATAGATATAGAAAGAGTCAATCTTTTCTCCTCTCGGAAATATTGCCGGAGATCTCGCGTTAATTGTAGTCCTGCGAGCCTAGAAAATCTTAATTCGGCTCTGGATACAGTCCGTGCTTAACAACCGTTCGCGATACGGATCTTTCTACGTAGAATCTGAATGCGACGATACGCTTTCTTTAGACTTAGTTCGATCGTTAGAATAGGGCTCTGTGCGTCGCGATTAGTTCCGACGGAGATGAAGCTTGCGATAAACCAGAGAAATTCCTAATAGACGGAGTCGAGAACACCTTTAGATTCGGTAACATTTTCTTTCCAACGACACTAGACTAGGGTAGATCTAGATGTATAGATTCGAGTTACCGACAGATTAGAGAAGACATCGTTCGTTTCGCGGCCGGTTGATCGGGATCTCACAATCAGACGAGAAACGAGAAGCATTGCGCGCGATGCTGTAAATCGGCAACTATCGAGATCGATTCGCGGTTCGTTCTCCTTCATTTATAAACCGCGTTCGTGACCGAGAATATGTAAACATATTTTTAGTCGTGTTTACGAATTTACCGCGACTCGATCTTGAACGCCAACTAGAGAAGGATCCAACCTGCTCCCTTGCGATACCAACGTGTAGTTTACTGGATAGAGAAGTACACGGAAGACTAGTCACGAGAAACAGAACGTGCAAGTACCTCTGTTATCGTATCTCTCTCTTGTTGTCTCACAATGTTAATTATACGCGTGCAACGACCGTTTTATACGTTAAAACGGCGTTAAAATTGAAGGGGGATGGGTTGGTACCTCTTCCTGTGAATGGTAGCATCTTTGTAAATACAACGATTAGAACTGATAATCGCGTGAAGCGAGCAGCCACTTAGATGACTCCTACATCCACATCATTACCTGGATACAAGATTTTTAGTGACCGTTCGATATCGGTACTAGAGAAATCCCCACCCTTGTCCCTAGCTGCTTTCAACCTTGAGATTATTCTCGAGAGCAACGAAGCATTCGCGCCGTAGCGATTCGGCGAGTGCCTCGTTCTCCGTTTTGTCTCGTTGTTTGTCATGTAATTTCATGTATGTCCGCGATTCGGTAAGTAAGAGTCACCTTTGGAACAAGTCACGACTCAAAGGTAGTGGACACGTTTGTTTCTCTTTTATCTCTCACCCAATCATCCCTAACGAGACTACTAAGCAAAAGCATGCGCATGCCCGAGGAAATTCTTTTGAACTGCATGTATCTACACGCGCGCACATGTGCCTGTATATCGACTACTCTGCTCCATTTCGTTGATTGTTCTTCTCATCTTCGAGATCGTCTACCGTTTATCGAAACAAGAACAATAGCATGGTCTATGACGAGCCTCGGCGCGAGTTTTCAATCGGCAACAAATTTACAGATTCTTATTTTCTTTCGTTAACGTTGAAATGGATCGAAATGAAATTTTTGTTCCGAGTGGAAAAAGAAATTTGCAAGTAATCGTTCGTATGCTGGCATCTGAAGTTTCGAGGCCGAAGGCTCGCGCAGGGGTTGTTCGTTTCGGAGGCAAAAGGCGTCTCGAGTCGAGAAAGATATTCGTTCGAGGCGCGAATCGTTAGTAACGAAGGCAAAGGACCGGCGACACCCCGACTCCTTAAATTCCTGATTCGCTCGCGACCTCGGTACAATTTCCTAACCGACGAGTCTGTTCGTTTAGATGGACCCTCAGGACGTCGTAGTTAGCGACTCGCGAGCCGGTAGTCTCGAGAGTCTCACCCACGCAGGCGAGAGACTTCATCCACCTGCTCATCCAGCCAGACATCCATCGCGTTCACCGAGTTTGAGGTAACAATCGAACCGCGCAGCTGTTTCAAGGTTTGCTCGTTAAATATTGGCTTGTACTACAATTATTTGCAATCGGAGCCATTCGATGGAAATTTCTTCGTATTTAATCCTTGATTACTTGATATGTTGTACGAGTACTCGCCGCTGTACGATACGGCGTTTTACGTGTAACGGTAAATGCCTACGTTTCTCGATACAACGTATAACGTATCGTCCGAAACGAGGAATTACAGATGAGGTCTCGGCACCAATCGTCTCGGATTCTCGGACCTCCCAGGACGTAGCACGCAGAGATGATCGAAACTCTTATCTAAATCCAAATTTCGCATCGAATTTGAACAAATCGAAATTGTACAGAAGCCACAACTTCCGAGCGGTCGCCTACGAATATCGTACTATCGAGAGTATTTCCAATGCATGCGATTATTTACGTTTAAGTGTTTGTAACTTTATTATACGTTTTTTATTATTATATTTTATTATATTTTGTATCCTTGCGCTTTATTATGTTTTTTTTATTATCGTTGTTTAACGTGCTTCGTATCAACTAATTGTTATACATTTGTCGTGTTTTCGTAGTTTATTATGTTTCGTATTATTATATTTTTACTTGTAGGTATGTTATAGTTTATTGTATATTTTGCGTTGGATCGATGTATGTCGTTAAATATATCGTTGTAAATAAACCATTTGACGTAAAATAATGTACTCGTTTTGGAGGTACTATTGGTGATTTCTTTCATTTTTTTAACTATTTAACTTGAAAGTCTACGCGAGTCGCTCGATATGTCGTTCCTTATTCTTTAGTTCCTTAGTTGCGTTTTTCTTTCTTATCCGTTTTTTTATTCCGTACCAATATAGAAACTATGTGTAAACTCTATTCGTAGCACTGGTTACGTTATTATCATCCCCAGTTCTATTTCGAAACCTACGATCCGTTGCATGAGAATAAAAGGTGGGGATTATTCGATTTCGCGAATTGTTTTCATCGAGAAATTGATCGCTGGAATGTGCAATGGGAAAACTAGGAGGTTAAATAGTTATGGTACAAGCCAAGAGAAGAAATAGAAGAGAGAACAGGCGACGAAAGGGAAGAAAGAGGGGAAGGATGCTAGCCAGTGGAGTGTTGGTTTGTTTACAGGAGGCACTCACCGGTCGTGCACGGATCGCAATCACCGAGGCGAGCTAGGTACGATCATCACGGTCATTATTACCACGACGGACCAGGGTTTAGCGACACGGTTAGCAACGTCGTCGAGATTCAGAGACACACGCATCATCCCCATTCGTCACAGTACAATCATCGGCACAGGATGCGAGGTACAAGACAGCAATGATAATATCGGCGAAGAAAACACGGTGCAACGATAAGTCCTTTTTGACGAAATCTTCGCTACGAATCTCTTTCGAGCGACAGATATGTTGGTCGCGTTGTCGAAATCGAGTTTTCCTCCCTTCGGGAAAAATGGCTCTCTCCCCTATCCTTTCGTTCCCCTAACTCTCTCAAGCTCCGCATAGAGAACGAGAGATTCGTAGTTAGGATTTACGAAAATATGAATGTCGCTATAAATGGTTTACTCGCAAGAGGCAAAAGCTCTGTGTCACTCGATGTAATATGTTTCTTCGTTTTGTTCTGTTATGCGCCTACAAAGACTATTACGACCACTGCGACTATTACGACGATGGTAATTTCTTTCGCAACTCCGTTTGATTCTCCCTGTTCCGAAGCAATTTTATTATCAACCTTGAGTCTACGATCGTTTGGCTTTCACCGTTATATATCGTGTTCTTTACCTTTTTTTCCCTACACATTCGGAAACATGGCAAACCGACACAAATTAGTTTGTTAGTTGAAGCAACATCGAACACAACAGACACCGTAACGGCGAACGACTATTCGTTTCGATAGGATATTTCGTTAATCACGGAGCACCGCAAATCACGAGTGAAAATACCGAGAATCTCGAGGATCGGTTAGTTGAATTAAAAGAGTTGGATCGTTTGCCTCTTGACTATCCCGTGAATGTTTTTCAAAAACCAAGTCGCTCGAGGCTCCGCAACGATGCTTATTTTTATTTTTTTTTTATTTTTTTTTTTTTTATTTTTCAAACCTTTCTATAATCTGTACGAGATCTATCGCGCACGGGATAGATGGACACGCTTACGATATCGAGCACTCTCGCACACTCGGAACACGCACACTACCCTTGACCCGAATGCATACCTGTGAGACCCGCAAAGAGACGAGTAGTCCATCCCTCGAATAAGTAGTAGTCGAAACTTCAGTTCCGCTCTCCGAACTCGATCGAGCCTAATTGTTCGTAACTATTGCACGTCAACCCCGTAGAATTGGCTTGAAACTGTTTCCCGACGAAAGTTTCGTATCTCTAGAACAGTGGCATGCGGCTAGTCAAATGCACCGGTATGGTAAATCGACCATAACTATTAGACCTGTTAGAGCAGACTCTGGTAACAAAAAAAAAAGTAGAAGAACAGAGAAAATGATAGAAACCCTCTGGAGACTGATCTGTATCTTGGCATGTCAATGTTAAAATAACACTCGTCGCCCCCGTATCATCCTCTCGAACGTATCGAATCGGATCGGTTAAACCTATAACCGCTATCCCAAGGATTCGAATACGATCGATCTAGCTATATCCGCGTAACTTTCAACGACATCGATAGAGCGTTTTCATCGTTGAAAGAATTCCTTGAATCGATCGGCGTACGATACCACGGAAATACAGAGAAGTTGGCCAGAAATACCTTTCGATACGATGTTAGAGAATTTCGTAAAGAACGAAGATTTCTTGGTCGCGTAAGAAAAGTACGAGGTTCGCGTTACGTGAGAGGATTTTGGTTAGCTTTCTCATGTTTCCGTGGGACGTGCGACGCGACGTTCCACCCCGTAGGATAGAGTTAGAATAGTTGCCGAATAACGGGTGAGCAAACGACCCCAACTCTGTAACAAGAATTTTCGTCAGGTCCGTGGAGCGCGTCGACGAGCCCTGCGAGAACACCGAGCCCCATTCATCAGATGGATCGAGGTCGTCATTACGGAACGACCAGATTGGAGCAGCGCTCGAGGAGTCCGAGCCCGATAGGGGGTCGTCAGCCGGGTCACACCCAGCAGCATTATTATCGACATCATCCCCATCAGCACAGCTACCCGGTATTGGTGACGAGGAGAGGTCAGGGGCGACGGCTGCCGCCAACACCGAACAAGCCATCGACTTTGCAGCTCAAGCCAGCCAACATCAACTTTCCCAAGTTGAACGCTTCGCCGACTCACGGGCCTCACGTGCCCGGCGCCCACGTATCGATTCCTAGCGGTATGCAGCATCCAGCTCCGGGTCACGTGCCGGGAATGCAACCGGCCCACTGTCCGCTGAGCTTCGAACAGGCTGTGGCGATGGGTCGCGGGGGTCGTTTGTTGCCCAGCCCTGTGCCGAACGGCTACAAGCCACAGCCGCAGGCCAAGCAGAGGACACCCAGGTGAACATCTCTTAATCTTACCTGCGCCTGCGCTCGCAACAGAATCAGCTGCTCGCTCGAGGCCGACGAGGTGCTATCTCCACCATTCCGTTTGGCTAACCCCCGTTACTTTATCGTTACCGTTGTTAAATCTTATGTTCAGAATCGTTGCTAGTGGTATCGACAGAGAAACCTACGATACGACCCCTATCGAGTCTTGAACAAGCTTCTTCCCTTCGAGGAGACTCGTCTACGAATATTCATCAAACATAATTAACGATCGTCCTTTTTCCATAGGTCGAGACACTCGGACAGCGACGACGAAGACTGGTGCTAGCCAAAGTGGGACCCTGGACGGTGGTCCGGTGACGTGGACGCCCCCAGGCGTCTTTGGGTTTGCGCGTGAATCGCATCGATCGAACCACGAATTCGGGAGCGGTGAAATTCGATCGACGGTCCCAGCCAAGAGGAGTCTCGGGTGTCGAGATCGGTTACGGTTCTCCGTGAAAAGGAGACACGAACGAGAAAAAGTGGCGTATTAGGACGACACCACGATTCGGAGACACCGAACGATCGAGATTCGTGCTGGGACAGGGATCGACGGCAGGTTCGAGACGACTCGTTTCGAGCCACCAGGACAACGATTCCCAAGAAACGCGGAAAGAGTTGAAAGGATTCGAAAGAAGCTACGCGACTGAAACGAGAGCAACATCGGACGGATCGTTACAGGGAAAATAAAACAGGACGTACACACATGGATACACGGATACGCAAACACGCGAGCACACGCGCGCGCACATATTACACACAGACACACAGACACACATACAAGTATAACGAATAATCATCTAGGCGACATCGAAGCAGATTGTGTGCCGCGAACACGGACGATCGTCGATTGAAAGATTAACAAACGAGCGATCCAGGCGAAAGTCCCACTGTCGAGTCGGACTCGTAATTGCCTGAACGCTCACAGGAACTTTATCTATTTTCACGTGAAACTTTCTTTCGTCTCGAACTTTGTAAACCTTCCTTTGCTGTGCTTTTTAATCGACGGACCGAGCCGAGGAGGATCCACTTTTTATACGATTAATATCGAGGGAAGCGCTCTTGGAACGATCGAAGCCTCCGCCTCGGATCCCTTTTCGCGCGAAACCACCAACTTTGTTATCACCTATCGCGTCGAAAGACCCTGCGACACCGTCTCTTCTTGATTTCTTTCGGAATTGCGTCTGCCCGAACGATTCGCCGGAGAGACGCGACAGACGGGACTGACCAGCGTGAAACGAAATCCTCTCCGACGAATCCCGAATTGCAGAAAACGACCCGTTCGACGCGCTCGTAGACGATACCGCGTCGACGTTCGCACAGAGTTCGTTCGTCGATAACGTTAACGAATCCGTGCAAAGGATGCATCTCACGAATCGAGCGGGCTACGAGAGATAAAAAAAAAGAACACGCGAAACGTTTTTCTCCTTGGATGATTTCACGGGAACCGTGACTACGGACACCCTCGAATTCGCATTTGTGAATCCCCGGGCTACGACGTGTGTATATATGTGAACGTTTATACGCATGGAGCGCGGTCACGTGTTCAGCGGGTCGTTTTCGATCGAAAATACCGTATACCGATAGACCTATTTCGTTTCGTGCAATTTCCTACTCGTCCGAAGGTTCGTCGTTCTATTCGAGGCGCAACGAAACGCGAATCGTTCCCATTACTTGCTCGCGTGATTCGAGTTTCCTTCGCTCGGAACAAAAATCTGAATAGTCTATTTAAATCCATCGGTTTGGAAAACTGGATAATCGAGCAACGAAACGAAATAGAGCCGTAATACGTAGAGCGTATACGATATACATGCGCGTATTTTATTCGGAACGAGCCTCGGAACGCGTGGAAAAAGTTTGGTATCGACGTCGCGTCGTACGCATACTACGAACGAGCCCTTTTTTCCAAATCGAGGATTCGGAGTACTCGTAGCGGGACCTCGCGGACTTTGACTCGTAGAGCCCGAAGAGGTCTCCGTGTACATACGCTCGTTCGCAACGTATCGGAGAACGAAAGAGAGAGGGTAATCGAGAAATCGACCGGTCGCTTCGCAAAGGGAAGGCTAACCGTGAAAATCGTAACCGAAGCTGCGAGCCTTCCGATATTTTTCCGCGCTCTGAACGATACATCGAACTAACTACGTAGGATTTTTACTAAACCGATTCTCTTGTATCGTAAAAAATGTATTCGTTGCTCGCGACTACCGGCTGTTTTATCGCGGTCCCTTTGACGATGACCCTTTGAACGTTTAAACCGGAAGTAATAGGCGTGCAAAGGACACGCGTACCCGAACGAGTCGGTGAACGATATTTTGTTCGCGAATCAAAGAAAAAAGGTTAGAGGAGCATCGAGAGGAACGATCGTCGGTGTCGTTGTTTCGTATTCTCGCTGTTGGTGCCAACGAGAAATCGAGGGATGTTCGAGAAGAGACGAAATCGACGAGTTCGAGGAACAGTGGCATGTGGGTGCCGGGTGCATCGCGCGACTGTCGACGAAGAAACGGAAATGGAACGGCGAAAAGGACCGGAGGTGTACGCTTTTGTAAAGAAGACGAGCGAAACGAAGAAAGAAAGCAAGTCGAAGAAGGAGACTCACCGAGCACTTGTAAATTATCTCATAATTCTCAACTCAAAATTTACCATCGCTGCTACTACCACCGGTACTATCGACATCTACGAAAGAGGAAGAACTATTCGACTACTAATTATTACCGCTACTACTAATAACTACGGCTACTATTATTAATTACTAAATACTACCACTATTATCGCTATTACTATTATTACTACAATTTACTATCACTACTTATTACCGCCATCGATACTACCGCTACACTACTATTACTAATATTTATTACCGCAACTACTACTAGCATCGTAACTACTATTACCACCACCAAAAACAACACCACGAACACCACCTCTACTATCGCTGCTGCTGCTACTACTGTTACTACTATTACTACTACTATTACTACTACTACTACTACTACTACTACTACTACTACTACTACTACTACTACTGTTACTATTACTACCGCTGCAACTACTACTACTATTACTACTACTACTACAACTACTATTACTACGATTACTGTTACTAATAGTATTATTATTACTACTTTTACTAACGCTATAATTACCGAAACATTTGATTAAAGATTACAACCATCGCTACTACTGTTGTTACTACCACTGTAATTATACGGTTAAGATGTACGAATCACTCATCGAAACCGACCGGAGAAACATCGATCAATCGTACACGCGTACACGAGCACAGACACGCAAATAAACACAACACGCGCACGCGCATAACACAGAGACAGGCAAAATTTTCATTCGGATTAAAATTTCGAGCAACGAATTGAACATATTACTTTTTTTATCCGTTACGAGTTGAATAAAAATTGAAATTCGAATTATAGAATGTAATATTTGAGATACGAATAAATGATAAATGATCCGTTCGATCAAATTTTATTATCGAAATAAAATTCTGCCCGTCTCTTGTACGAAATGTAAAGGACCGTGCAACGGACGCGCGCACAGCCAAGTCGGATTCGCGTAATTATAGAAAAGACGGACGACGCGAAGAAAAAAAGGAAAAAAAAAAGAAATACGTGTAACATACTGCCAATCATAAGAAGATGTTTTAAGTAAAGTACGCGCGAGATACATAAATCGGATACATGAAACAGAAACCATAGTTCTTTTTACGCATTGCGTATACACAGTACACACACACACACACACACACACACACACATCTATACGTAGGTAGATGTAAATAAATAGATGGAAGAGGCGAAGATGGAAGCGCGATTGAGGACGATGAACGAACGAGCGTGAATGCGTAGGAAAGCCGATCGAAACGATCCCTTAAATGATTAACGAACTTAACGATTTTTCGATACCATTTCGCGCTTGCCTGCGTAATCTGCATGCATGAATACAGTTAATCGATGGAACATATTATCCGAAAACGAAGGAGAAACGATTAGATACACTCGCCGACAATACACCACGCGGATATTCCTCGCGGCTCGAGGATTCGAGGTTCGAGGTTCTCGCGTATCGTAATGCATTTCTTATTTTTTTTCCCCCATTGGCTGTAAAGTTTTCATTCTCGTACGCCCGTACGGTATCGTTCGGAGATTGGCATGGTAGTTTTTATTAGTCGTCGATCGGTCGAATAAAATTGTACCCATCAGCGGCGTAGTTGCACGAGATCGGATTCGCGAATCGAAACGAACGCGTCGAAAAAAAGTGAAGCGCCGAAAAAAGTGCCGTTACGGTAAAGTAAAAACAGATAAAACAATAAATAAATAAATAAATAAATAAATAAAGTAAACACGGGTAAGAGTACCGAGAATCTTACGAACGCGCGTTTCGCCAAGTGTGATCGGTGTCGAGAGTGGTTTATGTCCCTTAAGTGCTTTATAAACTCAATCGTATTTCGTATCGTCGCGTTTAAACGTCACTGTAAAAGGAGTACACAAGTAAAAGTATAATAAACAAAAACTTTTTTAAAAAAAAAAAAAATAACGAAAATGAAAAAGAAAAGTGCGAATGTGCGAACGCGAGGTGCTTGGACACGCCATGATTTACGGCGTTTCGAGGCGGGTTCGAACGGATGGTGAAACGAATGATCATCCCAACGCCTTCGCTTTGTTGTTAATAATTTATCGTAAAAATTCTTCTATTGTTTCATTATTCTGGCCGAAATATAATCGTTGTTTCTACGATCGAAGTTTCGTCGTCAAAAGTTTACGTTTAAATGTCATCGAATATTATTAAAAATGTTTTTCTCTGTGATAAATCTAAAGAATCTAGGTTTGACGATCGCTATCGTCGCATCGACGGATCGTTTCGTAGCCCCGAAATGCGTTTACACGAAAAACGGACGAGGAGGAGGAGGAGAAAAGATTGAACGTTTATCTTAGCGTGCAAGCGTGCGTCTGTGTGCGAGCGAGCAGCGAAAGTCGAAATTTTCAAATTTACAAAAACTGTTTAGCATCGCGAAAGCAAGCATACGACCAAGCTCTTAACGATCGCTTAGCGTAATATAGTTGTAACGGAGGAATATAGTCTAATCGAAAGCATACGTATAAATGTAATTATAACTCTACGTATAGGTAATTAACGCGTACACTCGACATGCGGTAACGTAACGCGAGGATCTACGATCAGATCGATAATCGCAGCTGTAGAAAACCTAAAAGGAGCTAGGAGAACGATCGATCGTGGTAACAACGATGACACTCGAAACGAAGAAGAAGAAGACGAAGAGAAAGAAGACGCGTGGTCAAGTTTCGAATTCTCGTCGCCGCGCCGTGTGGTACGAAGAGAGTTGAACGATCAAAGAAATTTCGTCTCGATTGTATTCGGTAACGAGACAAGGGAGGAGCATGCGCCAACAACGACGCCGATTGGTCCAGGGCAAATCGATGGAACGATATTTCAGAGACTAGCGAGCATTTCGAGAAATAAAGACAGTTGTCGAGAACAACGATCGCGACGATTCGAGCGATGCCGATGTCTCGGCGCTTTGCAGCGTCGACAGGAAATCGGCCGATGAATCGTCGTCTTCGGTTTCGAATAGACGTTGAAACAGTTTCGCGAGAAATCATTCCAGTTTGCTACGTCTTTCTACTAGGATTTCGTGATTTCTTTGCACGCGCAGTTGATCGAGAGTCGTCTCTTCGAAAAGTTTAGCTGCAAAGCGTCGAGGCAACTTTTCACGGATCGTCCACCGACGCTTGGCAGCGAACCGTGATCTACTCTCGAGACTGAGAGGCACGGTCTACCCTAACGAATAACGAACCAAGCACGAAGGTACGAAGAACAACGAGGACGAGGAAAAGTAGAGAAACGCGGTAATACGAATAATCAAGGAAATGTGAAAAAGTGGTGACGACGAAGAAGAGTCTAAGGACTGTCGGCTCGATAGACGCGTGTCTGCATCGTGTAACAAATGCCTCGATCTAAACGCGTTGCATACAGGTGCGCCGCGTTGCAGCTGATAACGTAGCTGGAAAACCAAAAATATGCTTCTCGGCTCGTTCGTAGAAAGTACATTTAATTAAAAATAAACAGCGGATATCGACCCGAGCCTCGCGAACCTCGTGGATACGATTCCCATCGGTTCTAGGCAGAAGAGACTTCTCGAAGGATCATTTTAGTCGATCGTCGAACACAATCCCATCTACGATTTCATTACTTGCATTTAATTATAATAACGATAAGCGAACAAAAATAAAAGAAAGATCTAACGAGGATGAAACCGTGGGGAGGGGGAGAGCGTAAATGGTGTAACACGTAAATACCTACGATTAAGAGTTTTTCTACTTATCTATACATACATACATACATACATAACATACATACCTATATATATGTACACGTACGTACACATACCTAAATATATGTACATATATATAAATATGTACACGTAAAAGATACACCGTTAATATGCACTTTATATCTATGTATTTATATATAAGTACGTGTATGTATATATAAATATATACATATAAATAGTACGAGCGAGTAACGAAACCGTATATTTCGCGCTAAATGCCCTGTCGATAATAATAATCACGACGCAACAGACAAACAAACAAACAAACAAACAAACAAACACACAAACAATTAAACAAAAAAAAAAAAAAATGAAATAAACTTCGTCGCTAGATCTCTCGGCTCTTCGGCGAGCCAGAGCTCCGTAGAGTTTCATACTTTTGCAAATAATCGAGAAATCTCGTCGATACACTATTATACCAATCTCTCTCTCACTCTCTCTCTCTCTCTCTCTCTCTCTCTCTCTCTCTCTCTCTCTCTCTTTCCCTCCCTCCGTCCCCCCTCCCCCCCTCTCTCTCTCCTCTCTCTCTCCTCTCTCCTCTCTCCTCTCTCTCTACATATATATCCGCGTATAAATATAGTTGAAAGATCGAAACGAGAGAACATTGATCTTGATTCGAGACTGAATGTTCGAACGATGATCGGATGATTAGGCGAGAAATGCGCGATCGAAGAAACGATTAACCTTAATTGCTTTCGAGTTGTATTCGAACATATGCTTTTCCTTTGCCTGAACACGATATTCTGTACAGAAAGAGCGTAAATGTATTTTCGAGAGAGCGGGAGTACATAGGGCGTACGGCCGCGCTGGGATACACGGAAAGCTGATCGTTTCTGTTCCGAAGAATCGTTAAATGTGCACAAGACGAGCGTAACAGAGGAAATATCGTAACGCGACGAATCATTGAATAGTTACAAAAGTTGCCTTAATATTACACGTTTGGTAAACTAAACGATAAGATACGCAAACGAACGGCGAAGCAAACGAGAAACGACTCGAGAACTTGGATTACGATTACCGAATAATCAAAATTGACGCAGAACAACGTTAATTAACCTGCGCGCGACGTATAGTGGTTTTACGATCTGAACAATTTGGTGAAAATGAAAGAGCCCGCGCAACGAAAATCTCATCGTCTCGCTGCTCGTTTGCCTCGTGTTTATTTACACCTTTGACACGGACGGTGAATGTACTAACGATTAGTAAATAATCGATAACGTATACATACTCGGTCATCGGTAAAACTTAACGAATAATCAAACACGATTAGTTGGAAAAGATGTGAAACTACTCGTTTACGATTGCAGATCGATCTAGCAATTGTAAGCGACGATTAAAAAGTTAACGTGAAATTAATCGCAAAGTAATTACCAACCAACTCCGTGGTGTACCTTCCGACTCGTCCGATTCACTTTTTTTCCAGACGGATTTCCCGCGATCGCAATCGTATACAACGATGCTCGCGAGCTCGAACGCTATTCTTCGTGAATGATGAAATCGCGTATTACGAACTTGCTCTTCTCGTGTCTCTTTTCGCGTTCGCTTATTCGCGATCCAAGAATGCGATTGCGATCATTTCGAGACCCTTCGAATCCACGAACAGGGTAAAAAGAAACGAAAGCGGCGAGACGCGTTAAAACTACCCGATGATAATCAGTCTGTACCTATATTCGCAAAAATACTGTCTAAAAAGTCGTTACGACGTTCTTAAACGAGCCTTTTCGAATTCTTTTCGGTCTCTAACGCGGTGGTATTCTCCCTTAACGCTCCTCTGGCGAATCTCGAGTCGTATCGTCGCGGTTCTTGCTCGAGGATTGACGTTGGCTCATCATTCACGAAAGTAGCGTGCCGAGTCGGCGTTGTACGCACGTAAGAAATCAAAAAGAGGGTGAGAAAGAGAGAACGGTAGAGAATATAAGAAGAGGGACGAAGAACCGAACGATGTTTGGCTGCGTGTATTATGCGCCGCGTAAAGTCACGTTCTCGCGGGAACCAACGTTTAAAAAGTGCACTATTCGCCAACGGTTACTCGGTTAGCGCGATCAGATATCGAAGACAAATCGGACCAGATCGACTCGGAAATATTTCATCGAGAACGTGACTCGATAACGCGTGCTCCGTTCTAGACGTACGAACGTGATTTAGCGTTCTTTATTCCATCGGTTATCGGACTACGAGAATCTGGCTACGAATGACAACGGCCGAATAAACGAGAAAGAGAGAGGGTGAGAAAACGAGTAGAAATGCGCGAGTGTGTACAAGTAAGAGTGAGAACGCGAAAATGAGAAAAAGCGAGAAAATGAAATGGAGAAAATTCCGTAGACCCGTTTAATAGTCGCGTGTACCATTGTTATAAACATTGTGTAAAGAGGGAGAGAAAAGAAGTGGAAAAAAAAAAACCCATTGAAAGCTTTAACTTTGACTAAACTAACTTTAAAAGGGTATATAGCGATCTAGCGCAAGCGAGTGTTGCTGCCAGGCGCGTGAATGGCGGACGATTGGCGGTCGATTCTGCGCGACGTTCTTACTAACGGTCGACGAAACGCGTGCGTATATTACACAAGTATCGATATAGTTTATTCCACCCGCGATGTACTCGATCTTTAATGTCGTTGTTACAGTCTCGTACCCATGAAGTATATCGTTCGCGCAATATCTCGCCAATCTTCGCGTTACTGTACACTTACTGTATATTACTTATACATATATACATATATACATATACATAGATGTATGCATACGTGAAAATGCAAAAGAACACTTGTTTTTCTCGGAGAGAACAGATCGAGTGCAGATTGTACCTTTATACGTATTTCATTGTTCGCGTCGCGTCCAGAACGCAAACGATGGAAATTGAACCGAAACGAGGAAACGGAATCGGCGTTCGTCGAGTGAGATGCGAGTCGTGTCCCTTTTCGTTCTCGATCCAAGGATAGATCGTTCGTTGTCATCGTTGACAAGACATTTACTAATTTCGTTTACGCGCGAGTCGAGTCCTTCAAACGCGAAAGGGATCGACGATCGACGACCCAACACCCGCTACCCCTAACGTTCACCGTAATCGACGAAATCAACATTTCAGTTTCGCGTGCTCGCCGTGACGCGAACGTTCGGTTGTATCGTTTCTCTTCTTTAATGGAAAATAAGTATTCTATACGCGTGGTCGCGTCTGCCATTGGGAAATTGCCACGCGTTAAAGATACAGAAAACGAAAAAAAATGAATAAAAATAATGGAAAGGATAACCTCGATTATTCTTCGAATCTACGAAAACGACTGGTTCGGTGTCTAGAATGAATGAACGAACGAACGAACGAAAGCGAGACGCGAGAAAGAGAGAGAATACGAAGACGCAAACATGCATTATTACTTATGTATTATGCGGTAAACGAGAGAGAAGATACCTACCTTACATATATAAATATTATATATACATATATGTGTATATATATAACATGTATGTATATATACATATATACATAGCTAGTTCAATTTGCAAATTAGTGTGTATTGTCGCTTCGAAATGCCCAGTCATTACTCGCCAGGATCCAAAAACCCAACAACCAATTTCAAGTTCATTCTTTTTTTAAGGAAAAAACCAATAAAATAATGTGTTAAAATATTTCAAGACGCTCGTGTTTTTCACTTAAACTTAAGCCACCGCGTACATTCGCTAGAAATCAGCGCGTGCGGGATTTTACAATTTCTACTTCAACGAATTCTTTTCGATTAACTTGCCACGAATCGCCTCGAAATGTTCTCGAACGGCGACACGCTTAACAGCAACAAGTATCGTTTTACGTCAAAATATACATGGTTACAAACAGAAATAGAATACATTTTATCGCTATCAGTATTTTCGAAATTTATCTCCTGCACTCGATAGAAAATAACTTGTTTTCTATACAAAAAAAAAAAAAAAAAATGAGAAAAAAAGAAAAACAGAACAATAATAATAATAATAATAATAATAATATCTGTAATCTTCAAAATACAAGTTTTTACTCCGTTCCGAGTTTATTAGCCCTAAATGATTTCCTCGCTAATGTTCCTTACGATTCGACCAACGATTAGAACAAATACGAAAGCTTAAGGAAACTTTACAGTTCATAAATGAAAAACTAAAGATTCCGTAAGATTTAAAACGTATTTAATTATATTCTTCTTCTTCTTCTTCTACTTCCAATGTCAAGCTTGGATCAACAGCGATTTTATTAAGAAACTTATCGGAAAAAATGGAAATATAGAAATAGCATTTTTTCTATTTATCAGTACAACTGTTTCCGTTATCGAGACCAGTTCATTCTTTACGTTATCGTTGGAAATTTACAAATTTTCCGCTCTAGAGCATGACGACCGCTATATTATATGAATATATATATAGATATGTACCAAAGATCCGATTCATGGACCCTAAAATGGTATCGCCATCTCGCGGTCAGAAGGACGAACTAATTTTGGAACCTCCGAATGGCATTCTCGGCTTAAAAGCGCCCAAATTTGTATTGAATAGTCATAAATGCATAATTAATACGATTCTGTGTTTTATTACACCGGAATATATGAGTTAATATGTTAAATTTTCATTTTTATTACTTTTGGAAGCTTGGATCAGAACCCTTAGCAGTTTAGTACTAGTGGCGCCATCGGCGGCAAGACGCCCAAGTTTGTAGTGAAAATAGTTCCCACTGATTCTGTAAGATGGCACCACAGATACCATTTAATTAATAATTTTTTATATTATCATAATAATTCTTTGCTTCATAACACAACAATATAAAAATTAATATGTCAGATTTATCATTTTTATCTGTAGTTATTTAGTTATTTAATGCAGGAATAGTTAGCAACCTTTAATTTTAGCGCCATCTATGTAGAACTATTTTCACTACAAACTTGGGCGTCTTGCCGCCGATGGCGCCACTAGTAGTAAACTGCTAAGGGTTCTGATCCAAGCTTCCAAAAGTAATAGAAATGAAAATTCAACATATTAACTCATATATTCCGGTGTAATAAAACACAGAATCGTATTAATTATGCATTTATGACTATTCAATACAAATTTGGGCGCTTTTAAGCCGAGAATGCCATTCGGAGGTTCCAAAATTAGTTCGTCCTTCTGACCGCGAGATGGCGATACCGTTTTAGGGTCCATGAATCGGATCTCTGGTACATATCTATATATATATTCATATAATATAGCGGTCGTCATGCTCTAGAGCGGAAAATTTGTAAATTTCCAACGATAACGTAAAGAATAAACAGATCTTGATAATGGGAAAGGTTTTATTAATAAATAGAAGACGTTATTTTTGAGCGATTTTATTAAGTTTACCATGATTTTAATCGATACAGTGATGCCTGTTGTATACTGTCGCGCGCATCGAAACGCGACTTCGACTTTCTTTCCGTCTTTCGAGGAATACTTGATTCTTTGCTAGTATCTTTTATGAAACATAGTGATCGGAGTAAAATGGCAATCACGATTGCTCGTTCGAATTTCAGTTGAATTCCAGCTGCGTTTGATAAGGCGTTCTCGTCTCGAATATACGGATAAGCAAGTTGAAATCTCGTCCAATGGTGGAAAACATAAATGCAGTAATAAGAACCACAGCGTCGGCGTGCGCCTCGTGTAAATTTCGTGATTGATTTTCGGATTTCTCGTGTTGGTTATCTTAAAGGAAACTGGACGATCGGAGAAAAAGGATCGAGCGGAGGGGTGAGCGAGGAATATGAATATATAATATCTTATATCGTGTATCCATAAATGTTAAACGTTATTTCTTATTTTTTTTTTTTTCTTTTCGTCGTCTTATCGACACCTCGTATTATTCTCGACTCGTTTTCATTTTTCTTTTTATTAAATGTTAGGTAGAGCTTATAAGGGACGCCTAAAGTCGCGCTCACAGGCGAACTTCCGGCGCTCTTTTGTCGTATACTAGCTGTGCCGAACGCACTTGTACTGGTCGCACGAATAGCGAAACGATCAGCTGAAGAGCGGCTTCTGAGATCGAAAAGAAGTCTCCTATTTCACAGGGATGTATATCTCAGAACCATGCGAGTTTAACGACAGATACATTCAACTGTATCAACTTAAAAAGGGAAAACGATCGATTTAGTGTGCCGCGTAAAAAATTAAACGAATACATATCCGAAGTAAATGATCGTTCTCGGTAGTCGATCGTCAGCCAACCGTTTCCCTCGCGACATATTATTTAACAACAGAATTCAACCACCTAATCTTCCGGAGGATACTCGTAATTCTCACCTTCGCTTCGCCTTCGACTATACACAATAAATGGATATCTTTTTCTTTTCGTCTACATGCTAAGTAATAAATCGTCGAACCGCAAGTTATCGATAATCCATAATAAATCGATAGAAATCGCCTAGCATTCGATCGATCTTCGTCTGCCTTTAAAAAAAAACCCGTGCCCAAACGATAAGAGCACAATCATAAATTTTAATAATTAATAATATTTCAAATCGCCGTCAATCTGATAATAATTCAATTGCAATTGCGATCACCATAACGCAAGAATCGCAAATATCAATAATAATAATAATAATAATAATAATAATAATAATAATAATAATAATAGTCATAACGGCAATATTAATAATAATAATAATAAAATAAATTTTCATCCTACTAATTAGCATCGTCGTTACAATGATGTGTACTTAGCCGTTACAGTCTGCCTATGTACTATTCTCTTTTATATACTTCTATATGTATAGCTACAATATATAATATTTTCATGTTGAAAAATCGTATACATTAGTGTTGTGTCGCAGGACCATTGCTTCGTTTCTGTTCTGTTTCCCGTTCGTACATACGCTTCTCTCGCTTAATATCAATTTCTTTCTTTCTTTCTTTTTTTTTTCTTCTAATACGCTCGTTAACTCTGTCGTTTCGTTTCTTTCGGCTATCTTCGCATCGATGTGGACGCTGAGAGGGGAAAAGGTGGCGTCGATGCACAGAGGCGTGTACGCTTCGTTATCGAACAACAGCGTGGAAGAAAAATGGAAAGGAACGAACAACGATGGAAAGATTGAAAGCGACCGGGGGTACAGGTTATCCGTCGTCGTTTCCCAATCGCCTTTTCCTCATCGCTTGTTCGATCGGTGAACAGAACTGGACAAAACTCTCGCTTAGATAACAAATTTTGAATAACGAATAAAAGAACAGCTTTTCAATACGTCATTTATTTAGCCTAAATTATGTAATTGAACGATATTTCACGTTAACCATTCGATGGAATAAACGTCGAGAGTAAACAGCTATACGTTGGTTTAATTCGTCGTTGATTGGCCGAATAAAGTTTTGCCCACCTCTGTGTGGCTAAGTCAAAGTTCTTCACCGAAGCGTTACAATTGCACTCGTCGCTCGAGAACGTGAACGCATCTCGTTTCGAGAATATCTATTACATAACGTTAATAGCTTAATATCGATTTTTTTTTCTTTTTTTTTTTTTTTTTAGTTCGTATTACCCGCCCGGTAAGGGCGAGCCTCGGATCACAGATAGTGAGGTGATCGGATTGCGCGAGCATTTTCACGATACATCGTCTTACATATATGCGTTTTTTCCTACATCGTACAGATTCTCGTAATTGTCTGTTTTGCGTTTCTTCTTGCGATTCCTCTAAGTATTTCAAGGCGACAGCTCCTGAAAGCAAACAGCACCGGCCGTGTACGCGAGTGTGAATCACAATCGCGCGAAGAAATTCCCCCAATCATTCCAACCGATTTTTAGTTCATATGTATATACGATCGTGGCTCCAGAGTCGTCGACAAAGTTTCGTCGAACCGACGACATCTGGAATTCTCTTATTCCGCTGACCGTTTGTCGGAGATGGGCAAACTTCTCGTTTAAGAAAACAATTTCGAATGACGAACGAAAGATGAACGTTCGCACACTTTCTCATCCGCTGCTCGTTGAATAAAAATTGAAATTTCGATTATAGAACGAATAGACAAAGATCGAATCGTCTTGTAAAGTAAAGCACTACGCGTTGGTCTTGTTCGTCGTTCGTTATTCGAAGAAAATTTTGCTCGTCTCCGATGTTCGCGCACGTAGCACGCTCGAAAGGAAACTCGATCGAAACGCAATCCTTGCGTCTTTGTTCAATTCATGGTAAAAAGTTGTCATCGTAACGATCACACGGATTATACACATACGAAAGTATAGAATATATATTTTTATACACTTGTATACACAATACATATGTACCTACGTACGTACGACCAACTAAGGGTAGACAGGCGCAATCGTATATTTCAAGCGTCGAATCCAGTCGAATCGCGTGTTTGCGCGATCCCATCGAATGCTGTGTTTTCGTTCGTTCGTAAGGAAGTTCGATATCGATAAACTTCGATACCAGGTTCGTTGCACCACGACGATTCTACTTCTATTCGAAACATCTTTTTTCTCCCGAAGACCAAAATGCATTCGAAACCGCGAATGGACAATCTTCCGATCTACGCGAAACTCTATACCTAGAAATAAAAGATGGTGCTTATTCCGTCGAGATAAATCAAAAGGACGGAGTTCGTTATCCTGGATTCGGCGCAAGGTGTGTCGGGTGATGAAATTAACAGAAACAGAAAACGGCATAGTAAAGGGGAACGAATTTTAATAAAATCTCGTGCTGAATCACTGCTATACAAATACGAAAAAGTAAAAGTGGGATATCGATTTCGATGTTTCGGTTCGCTCGTGGGTACAATCATGCACACAGTTTTTCAACGTAACAAAGAATACGATGATACTCGCTTTCTGCAGCGAGGACACTCGCGAATCGGAATTCGAGCATTTCACGTTTTACAGAAACAAATAAATAATAATTCGGGAAAACATCGAAAGAACTGCTCGATTGTACATTAACGCGACGCAACGATCGGCTCCATTTGTTTTCCATGGAAAAAGCGATTGGTGTCCTCGCGTCGAAACGAAAAGGGAACAAATCAGCACGCAAACATCGTCCGCGTGTCGCTGCAAAGTATAACTCGGAAGCTAAATTTAAAACTCGGAACTTAAACCACAAGTGAACGTAGGAAACATTCGCTAGCATTACACGATACACCCGTGCTGGGCTCAGATTTAAAAAGGATTAACGAAAATTGTTAAACCTGCGACACGAAAATACAAGCTGCCGGTGGCGTATCTCTCGCCGAGAGATAAAGGACCATCGTGATGTATTCACGACCGTCTGGATTCTTCTTCTTTTAAATCCGTACCCAACAATCAAAATTACGCTACGCAAGAATATATAGTGGAAGGATACATAATACGACGTTAAAAGAGGTTGCAAAACGAGGTCAAGTGTTTAAAAACAAAATCGTGAAAAGAACTCCAAGTAAATATGATGGAGGAGGGGAGGAAGAATAAAAATATCTTGTACTAGCTAAATCTATCTAGTTGTGTACGTGTACGTGTCCATGTCTGCGTGTGTACGTGTAGCACATGTAAAATTAAAAACTAGTCGATTCGCGTACGTTCTCTCCCTTTCTCTCCTTAGCTAAGCGTCTGTACGCCGTCATATTGTCTTAAGAGCAACGAATTTCGTCCGTTCTCAGGAGCACATCGGCTTACGAGCTCTGATCGTTCGCCGTCCTTTCCACTCTCTCGTTTTCTTTTTTCCTCCCTGCACCCGTTTCTATTGTTCGCTCTTCGAGCCTTTCGTAAATACGTGAAGCGTACGCTCGCTCACGGTCGCTCGATAAGGCAACATCAAGTAACAAGATCGAAGGACGCGCAATGGAGATACAACGGCGAGTACAAAAATCGTTCGATTCTCGCGAAAACGTTTCACCGATTCCGCGATCTGTTCGTCATCTTTCAAACGGTCGATTTCCATTCGAAAATCGGAAGCGAGCACAACGGGGCGCGATGGCTGGCCACGAACGGGTTGCGTGGCGCGCTCTACTTCGAGGAACAACCGCCTCGCATCTTCGTATACGTGTCCTTCTTCCTCGAGAGGAAAAAGAGAAAAAGTGTTCGAAAACCGGAAACTAGAGTTACTATTTATAGTAGGAACACCAACGAACATCGTTTTCTCGTGTATGGCTCGGAGGTGCGCGCAAATCGCGCGTGTCAGTGTCGACGAGAGTGTGTGCGTGTTCGGTGGATAGTGGCGAGTGACGGTGTGGTGGTTCTTGTTGTCTGACGGTGGTGTACTTTTGTTTTTCCTCGTCCTCTAACATACACTCTGCTTCGTTTCTCCTCTTACTCGGTTCTTTTTTTTTCTTTTTTTTTCTTTTTTTTTTTTTTTACTGTCTTTTTATTAGGTTCGTTACCATACTAGTCTCGCACATTCCAAAAGTAACTTTAGACGCGCGGTCGTTTTTCATTCTCCCGGTCGGAATCAGAGTCCGCTGAATCGTGGAGTGGCGGAAATTCCGGCACCGCCTCGCGTTGTTGCATCCATCCCGCCGCGCCTGGCCCCCCAGCCAATGCCTTGCCCTGCGTCATTTTTTTCGATTTTTTTTTTTTTCAATTGATTTTTAGCCCTCTGTCTTTATCCCCTGCAGGTGGCGACAAAATAGCGTGTCATTGGTCGCTAAAGCCTCGCCTTCGTTTCGGAGCTTTTACGCGCTTTTTTTCTCAGCACGGACAGATTTCTTTCGAATAACGCCTGATGCATGTATATACATGCACGGAGTGGCCCACCTACCTTCACGAACTTACAACTCTCGAATGTTTTCAATGACAGGAAGAAACGTCGCAGAAAGCATTATTTATTCGAAAGGGCCGATTATTTCTTAAATGGAGAGTCCTATTTAAAAATCTATTCAATTTAACGGAGATTATTTTTAACAACGCGAGGGAACAAGACGCCCCTTGCTTCGATTGCGATCGAATTTATTCTTTGGTTACGAGCCACGCAAATGCATCGATGAAAATACATCGATCGCTTGGATATCTCGTACCTTCGCTTCCGAGCAAATAATGTTTTCCGCTGCCATTCTTTTTAGTCGAAAAACAAGCGAGAGGAGATAGTCAATGTAGGTGGCACACTATTTCTATACACGTATCGAATCGTATAAAAAGCGCGGGCTACATGAATTGGCCGCTTGTACCAGGACATCGACTTTGTTTCTCTAACGCTTCCCGACAGTTTATCGCTCGAGAAGCTAATTTACTTTAGCTTAACGACGATAAAAAGGCGCGTCGACTCCCGGTTACGAGCATGAAAGGATTTCTGGCTACACGATTCTAGCCGAAAATGCTCGAAGACAGGGGAACAATCAAACTAATGATACTAAAAATCCTTTCACGCTGATCTGCCAATGCAACGAACCGGCACCTATTCTCTACTCTCTACGCGGAAAGATTTATTAGAACTCTGCACAACGAACTAAATAATGATGAAATTTCTATCATTCGTGCTCATTCTCTCTCTCTCTCTCTCTATCTTTCTCTCTCTCGTGCACTCACACACATACACACACGCATGCGCGCACACTTCCTTTCCTATTTGATCTATTCATCCAGAAAATCCCCAGCCATACAATCCGCCAAACGAAATAGAAAAAGAAAAAAAAAATATATATATATATATACGAACAAATAAAATAAAAGGTAACGATAAACGCTAACACGTACTACTGCGTAGAATCAGTATACATGTAAACTTAAATTCTACGTGCAGCCATGCATGTCGCGAAGATGTTTCGAATATTTATCCATCCGTAAACACTTTTCGATCTGCATAAATTCTTTATGCATCATGATTCTGTATCGCGAACGTCTAGGTCTCAGCGAATGACTCCGCGCACACGCGCGCTTGTATATGTGTGCGAATATGTTGCAGTGTGTTATGAAACTATCCGTGAAAAGTGTTCAAAGAATTAAGTATCGAAAGCCATACGAGATCGGTAAGAAACCGCAGGGTGTGTTTGTCGAGGATGTATCGGCGTAGCGTAAATAACGTATAGATAGCCATAACTCGAATAGGGATAGTATATGTCCGATTGCATACCATTATGTACAACAAGGAGATACGGTTCCCTATGTATATGTATGTATGTATATATCTATATATATATATATATGTATATATATCCTTAAAATAATCGGATCTAACGATGCCATCATCTCGATCTTCTAAAACTCGCACCGCAATGTTGCGTAACGATATGTTTCCAATGCGCTTCCTAGCGTTTCCAGGACTTCGTAAGTTGCCTAAAACCCTTAAACACTGACTCGTTAACCCCTTCGTAATCGTCGTTACCAGACACACACTTACACATTCATTTAGCGAAATAAAATCCGACTCGGTATTTCATTTTGTTTTTGTTCCCATCGGTCCAGAACAGTCAACTGGATTTTACGGGTCGGTTTAAATTGCAAATATCGTCTCTAATTATATCTGCCTATAAACGAGCTACCTAAACGTTACTCGCGCTTTAAGATTGCTTTAAAGAAACCCCATTGCCCGCACGGCGAGATCTAGCCCTACAGGTAAACTCGAAGACGAGAACGCCGAGATCACCTCGGTTGGACGATGATCGAATGACATTTTATAAAAATCACATCTCTTCAACGATACTTAGGTCCGTTCAGGGTATGTACACGTGGATTCCCGCCTTCGAGCGACACAGCTAAAAACGGCACGATACGCGAAAAAGATTCCAACCGTTTCTGTATATATTGCACTACGCGCTATGCGCTATCGACGAATCAAAGTCGCCGCGCATACGAAAATCGAAGTGGGTGGAGTTTGCGAAATTTTTCTCGAAATTGAAAAACCGATCGATACTTGTCATAATTACTCGCTTCGACCAAGGGAAAAAGACCTGTGCTTGTTGCAACGAAACAGATATACCCTGGTCGGCTCCACGACTTCTGATTCGGGCTGGAACTAATCGGATAATTTAAAAAAAAAAAAAAAATCTAATCGGATAATTTGAAATTTGACAAACGGGAATATTACGCGCGCGAAAGAAAATCGCTTTCAGCCGAAAAATGTAAATACGAGTATCCGCGGCCCTGCTTCTAATCCGAACTATCGTTCGCGACTCTATCTCACAGACACACTCTCAGTCTTCCGCGAAACCGGAAAGGAATTCTTACGCGCGTACAAAAATTCCCAGCGCGTGAAACTCGCAGACGAATCTATATCGTTGACGAGGATCGGTCGGCACAGCACGTCACCGAAAACACAAAAGGAATCGCTAAAGGCCCAGAGATCGGTGTGTACGCGCACCGGTCTAGGCTTTTGTCTTTTTCTTTAGTTTACCCAGTTTTCGTGATTTCCATCTGACCGTCTTTCGTTCTCTCCTCGCTTCCGTTCTCTGTTCACTTTGACATTCTTTAATTGCGTGTCTTTGCGTGGAGTCTGATTCGATGTCTCTCTCACTCTCTGTCGCCTTCTAAGAATTTCGTTTCATCTGCACCAAGAGAAAAGAAAAAAAAAAAAAGCTCAAGTGAATTCAACGGGACTACGTGATTCAGCTTCGACGTTCGAGAACAAAGAGCCGATCGAACCGTTCGCCATGCTCCGTGCGTTGCAACTTCCAAGGGTGCTCTCCACGATTTGGTTTCAGAGTTTTGGCCAAATTTTATTCGAATAACGGATAACGAATAAGAAGCATCGTTCGACGCGAAACGCAATTTCATCTTTTTACAAGAATTTTGCCTACGAATACGCGAACTCCGATGCATATTTTCGATCGGCGGATTTCATTTCGTACCATTTCGCGAGAATTTCGAATCGGACTCGGGACCTTTTTTTCGGACGTCGCACGAAGATGGACGGTTCGTCGATTAAATAGTGTTCCAGTCGAATCGTTAGGTGATGGAGAGAGTAGAAGAGACCAAGGAACAGACGACCAATCATAGAGAATCAATCGTATGACGTTATCGTACAGGTGCCATACCGTGAGAACTGTGCTTGTAACAATACGCTGAATGCAGCGGCGATCGTCGGCGTCGGTGCGTTTTTGCGAATCGATCTTCTTTTCTGGGTCGCATTACCTTTCCTCGAGGCACGAGAACCACTCTTTATTACCTTTCTTTTATTTAAAAAAAAAAAAAAAAAAAAAAAGAGAGAGAGAAAAGGAAGAAGAAAAAGAAAAAGAAAGAAATAAAAGCCTGAGGCAACGATTAGTTTTAAATTCATATCGTAAATCGTGCGAGTACTCGTTAGAGTCTAAATTGGACACTCCGCGCCCCAATTTCTGTTGCAACAAACACAGTTCTTTGCTTATCGTTTTGTTAGATTCGGGGTAGGTACCAACCAGCAGCGATTAGAGAAAAAAAAAAAATTATGGAAAAAAAGGGAGAATAAATGAAACCAGAATCAAGACAGTGGTAAGGGGAAAACGGATTATGGTTGGGCGTCGTGTTAAGTCGACCGATGCGTAAGAAGGGTCTTGGTGCTCGTATAATTGTGTGCAAGCGATTGCTTTCTTGTTATATATGCGATTACGGAAACGTTAGTGCCAGCTGTAGCAGCAAGAGCGTTGTTCGTCATTACCAGCGGAACTATTTCATCTTCCTCTATTTTATCCACTCGTTTAACCTGTCGAATCGTAACACTTTTACCTGGCCTTCGAATTTCTTGGCAGAGCGACGATATCGAAAGAACTATCCGCTCGTCCTAGCGAAACTCGATTGTTGTCCGCGCTCGTTTGCGAGAATTCGAGGCAAAATACGAGGAGGAGCGAGGCTACTCGAATCGTGGAAACAACTCGGAGGTTTACGGATAACGAGAAAGAATTGAAGAATAGACGAGTTTCGATGTAGCCGAACGGAACGAAGGCGGAAAGCGAAACGAGAGTCGGAAAGGCGATTCAAAAACGCGGCGAGCTAGGTGGGAGCATGCATTTTAGTCGCTTCATTTCTGCCCGGGGCTTTCCACCGACCCCTCCGGACCAGGAACCGTGGCCGAAACGGATGAACCGCGAAATTAATTTTCTTGCGAGAACTTCTACCAGCTTTTCCCGACCGATTCGAATCTCAAGCAAACGCAACGGTAACGAGATACCGTGACGAGATCGAGAAGAATGGTTCTAGATGCGGATTACTCGAGCGACAAGCTTTCTTAGCCGTTCTTAGCCAACCGCAAACAATTGTTTAATTAAAACGCGAATGTTTGGAAATGAATTCAGGGAATACGTTCGGTCTAGCGTTTTGTAAAAATCTTTTTTTAACATCGATACATCGAAACGTCCTCCCCACACCGCGTTTCAAAATATATCTCGCGATGATCGGCCGACGATGCAGCGTAACATTTGTAACGAAGTCTATCGACAACCGGTTGGCGTATCGTCGAAAGGGACCTTTAAATTCACCAATCGTGAATATCTACAAATTTCCACGCTGCGTGGAAATATAACCATGTCGCCTGTTTGCGCGCGAATTTAATTCAACGTCACTCTTTATCACATGACACCGTAGAAATTGCACGTCAAAAAGATTTGCTGGATTCCCGGCACCGGTCACGGTATCGCATTGATTTCTACCGTACTCCATAATCTTTTCTTGCAAATGGCATTTGAAAAAAAAAAAAAAAAAAGAAAGTGGAGTAATAATTGGGAATACATCGTTTTAACGATGCGTAACGTACGAAGCACGATTTGAATTCAATGAAAGTGTTTCAGGAAAGTTTGTTAACTCCAGCACGAGTAAGCAGCTGAGTCTTCTCTCTATGTATATTCCGAACAAGAATGATTGGAACCAGCTCGTTAGCGTTGGCGAACTGAATAGTCGAAAACGAAAATTCGAACGATACGCGAGAGCTTCGAAAATCCCGATACTTTGGCTCGTCTGTCGGATACATGGGAATAAGATCTCCGAAGATATACTTTTGTTGCTTAGAGGTAGCTCGTTAGAAACACGTCAGCGCGGGCGCGTTCACGTATACCTATTCGAGTCCATTAATATGTGAGCGAGCAGCCCTGCCTAAAAAGTGACTTAGCAACTCCAATGCATACTAAGCAACCCTTATGTTACCGGCCCTGTGTGCGCGAACCCGACGCTCCTCCTCTTCTAACCCATCGCGCCTCCTACCACCGCTATCGGATCCCTCTAGGCCCATCTTTATGGACCAGCAACAGCGTATCCAACCCAACTCTATATGTATATTCAAACAACACGCATCTACTTGCATCCAGAGACGCCGCTCTAGTATCCTTGAAAAGCACACGCAACACCCACTCCTGTGCACCACTCTGTAAAGGGGGATTCGCACCGACTTGAACTTGTCACGTGTCAAACGTTGGTTTAAAGAACAAAATTGTACAAAGTTTTGCGTTATCGTCGAAAAAGATTTGAAAAAATAGTAGATGATTAATCGCAATCACGTGTCCAGTATTTTAAATAACTTTCCAAATACCAAGAAATTAAAAAATGTCACGTTCTTCTTCGTCGTTAACCCTATGGTAAAGATAAAATGTTTTCTTTTTTTTTTCTCCCGGAGAACCAACGGCCGACGTATAGCAAATCTAAGACGGTTCAGCGTCACTTTTCGCGCGTCGCGACGTTCTACCCTTTAACGTAAAATATTCGGCATAGACCACCACCGTTATCCATTCGTTTCGTTCTTTCTCAACTTTCTTTCTCGCTCGCTTTCTCACTCTCGCAGGTTTCCATTCTCGCAATATGTGTGAATATGCGGTGAGGTGCACATGCGTTTACGGAGTCACAATGCCGTGGCTTAAAAATGGATGGAAATCGAGAGTTGCGGCAGAGTTCTAGTAATTGTCGCTGCGTAGAAACTTGATCGCTGGTAAACATAGGTAGCGAGCGAAAAAATAAACCCCGGCATCTTTTTCCATTCATTCGAGCCTTGGAATGTCCCTCGAAATCGAAGGGTATGGGAATAGGGGAGGGGGGTGGCGGTGGCGTGAAGCGTTTTACTCGAGGGAGTCTAGCACATGCTCGGAGAATGCAAGTTGAGGTGGCAGCATCGAAGAAAGCGAGGCAATAATGATCGCTGACTACAGGGAGATTTATCTTACGTGGAAAAAGAAGGTTTGACGATTACCTGGTGCATAGGGTCGTAGCCCATGGAGCCGTCGTTGTACGGTTGCGAGCCATAGTCGCTACCGTTTATGCCCATCGCGTATCCGGCCATGTCTTGCGGACCACCGGGAGGCGCCGGCGACATCATCGGGGTCGGAGTGCCTTGGCTGGCACCACCCATACTGTACGGCGACGCTCCTGCAAAAGCTGCTGTAGAAACAATCGCGGTGCATACAAAATTCGAGGGTGCGTCTTTTAAGTTCTTCCGCCTCAGCGATACATTTTGACTACGATAAAGCGCGAGCTCGTTTCTAATTCGTCTTTTCTGTCTCTCTCTCTCTCTCTCTATTTACGTAATCAGTGGCGTCGATCGACGCTCGCGGGGCGTCTCGTGGTAAAGTTGTTTTCCTTGGAACCTGATTGTCGCTGGACTCAGCGGATCAAATTCTAGAAAATTTTTCAGTCGTGTCAAGTGAACGCCACTGATTAATTAGACTGGCAAATGTATCGTCGCGATTACGTTCGATTTTTCGGTTTGGCAAGAAATCGATCGATCATTGATCCATGCACGGATGAAAGCGAATGGACTCATGGTATCGTGAAAACGCGCGACTTCGAAAAGTTCCGACGGTAGTCGAGTAGCAACGGTAATCGACCCTTTCGCTGTTTAATCCGTACCACGTAACACATTCGATGTTTGCTTCAGTCCAAGCGCGCGCAAAATGTTTAATCTCATGCTTGGTATCAAAATTGAATTAAATAATTTACCGAGGAGGAAAAAAAACAACAACATTGATTATAAATATTTTGTTAAATATTACACTCGACGATATAGAAACATATATCTAAGACGGATTCGTCTCTCTTTTCGAAATACGATTAAATCAAGTCAACGGAAAAGTGGAACATTTTTTTTTTATTACATTTAATTCGATTAGCGAACAGCGGAAGGGTTATATCTTCGATGGCAGCAACGCGAGCAATTTTTATTTCGAAACGCGAAAACGTTTGCGCCATCCAGCAGGAAAACGCGCTGGCTCCGCAGTCCTGGCGCCGGTATCGCTCGAGAATTCCGTTTCTTTAATTACGAGAGAGGACTGCAGCCCGTTAACCGGAAGCGTGGCTGAGGAAAGACAAACACGCGAAGGGCGTCGAAAGAAACGCGAGAACGCCGGCATCTCATCGCACCCTCCTCTTGCTACACCCCCCGTCCCCGCCGCTCGTCTTCCCTTTCCCCTTTCTTCGTCTAATTGGTAAGTTAAAAATATCTCGCCGTGCTCTCGAAAATAAAGTGACGCCTTGGTAGTTAAGGAAAATGCGCGTAATTGCGACCAGCAAGTCCCGCGAATGCGAGGAATTTCCCCGAGAAAACAACTCGGAATTTTTCCCCTAATTTCCGTGAGAATGCGAGAAGCTAAATACGGAGCCGAACAAACGGAAGATAACGATTCCCGTTTAAACGTAATACGTGTGTAACTCTTTGAAATTCGTTTGAGATTTTCAGGAATTTGATTACCCACCAAAAAGAAAAGCTACGGAGTCCGATCGATAGTTTACCGTTTTTACCTGGGTAATTTATTAACCAGCCGTGATAACACTGGCACAGCCACACCGAACAACGAGCGTTAATCGAGTCGCGTAATGATTTACGGTAACGAGGAACCAGTTGCCAGGACGCGTAATTTCTCCTCTAACGTAGCTTCGACGCGTAAATAATCGCAGCAGAAAAAATGCCAGCAACTATCATCGTGTTAACTAACGCGGACGAAAGGAAGCTGGGCCACGACCAATTACGCGTTGTTTCCTCAGCAACGACCTGCGATATCAACGTTCACGATCGTATGTCAAAAGTCTTTCAGCCGTTCGGAATCAATTAAAAACTTTTCATCGTATTTACTGTATTTCTTTTCTTTTCTTTTTTTTTTTTTTTTTTAAGTTATCGAAACGAACTCTTCAAGGAACACCCGTCGCTCGTTTGCCGAAGGACGGAACTTACCAGCTGCCTTTTTGGCTGCGTACAAGTTCGCCTCCTCCTGTGCTTTACCTATGTTTTTCTTGTAGCGTATCCTCTTGTTGCCGAACCAATTGGAAACCTGCAAGAGCGCAACAACGCGAGATCACCAACAGAAAATTTTGGTGTTCGAATATCGCCTAAGACCCCGGCCAGATTATTTCATTTTCCGTTCGAGATATCAAACCGAAGGCTATGAAAAATACGTCGTCCTCGAACGGATGATGGGATAGAATAAAATTCTACTTTTCTGTCGATGTCGAAGTGTCCCGAACTGAAAGTTACTCGAATAACGTTACAGCGATATATTTGAAATGGACCCAACTAATCGCGTAACTGTTGTTGGCAATTAATCGCGAAGAAACGACGGGCGAATACCTGGTTGCGTTTTACCTGACTCACGGTGATGCCGCATTTTCGCGCGAGCTCTTCCTTGGCCTCTTCGCTCGGATAAGGATTACTGAGATGCGAATAAAAGTATTCGTTTAGGATTTCTGAGGCCTGTTTACTGAAGTTTCGTCTTTTACGCCTGTAACAAAAAAAAAAAAAACATTTCCCTTCCCTTTTCACATCGAAACCGTTCGAAACACACCGAGTCGAAAACAACTTGAAAAAATGGGAAATTTCATACACGAGAGTTGTGTCCAGCAGATATTTTAACCGTTTAGGAGAAACCTACCCAAAGTTAATACCTTGACTGTTGAGCGAAATTTTTTCTTTCTTTTTCTGAATTCGTCCAAAATAAGAAAATTGGAAAGAAATGATTCGTCGAAATATACGCACCTCGCGTCGAGGAATCTACTCCTCAGGATCATGACGGCCTCGCAGGTAGACTGTTTCAGCTGCATCTGGATGCTCGAAAACTTCTTGTGAATGATCTGTACCATCCTCTCGATCTCCTTCGGCGTGATCGGCCTGGTACGACTTTGTTCCCTCAGTAAATTCATTACGTGAGTCGTGAACTCGTTGCACGCCTGAAACCAAACGGAAATCCAGTTTTGCAATCGATCTATCGAGAAAGGGAGAACCATCGGCTGGTGCGAAGAGATCGAAGAGGCTCCTCTACCAATCGTTGACGTCTTCGGAGTGAAAGAAAATCGCGAAAAAAAGGGCCTGAAAAAAAGACGTCACGACGAAGCAGCGCAAAAAAAAAAGCGAAAAAGAGGACGGCCCGAGGATGGAGAGGAGAGCATCGAGAAGAAAGACGCCGTACGTATAATGCATTATTCCTGGTGGTTGGTCGGTTTAAGGGAAAAAGGACTTTGCTCGATATCAGTATTCGAGGCGAGCACGCTACCTTCCTAAGGGAGCGAAGGAGAGACGCGAGTGCACGAGAGAAAAGGAGAGGTGGTGGAGACCGGAGGTGGAGGTGGGATGGATTTTCCTGAGGGAAGGCACTAGGAGGAAGAGAGGTCGAACAGGGTGGTTCGCAATTTCGAAATGGATTCCACTCTGCCGGCGTACACCCGGCAACTCTCCTCGTCTTTCTTCCATCCACCTCCGTTTCTCTTCCTTCTCTTCTTCCATTCTGTTCTGCTCTCTTCGCATGAGCGTGTACCAGCTCGACGGGGGTGGATCAGCTTCGTTGCTACCTCGCTAGGAGCCGGGCCGAGGGGCTGAAGACGATCTCGAGTAGGTGGATTGGATGGAAAACCCGTAAGGAATTATGCCGTCGCTCCCTCTCCTCCACTCTCCCGGCCTCCCGCCAGTATCGATGTTTCCTCCAATTTTTAAATTATCGTCGGAATAAAAATGATACTTGGCCCGGAGCTCGCGAGACCTCAGCCCTGATAAATTTGTTAAAAATTGTACCGTACGTACCGAGAGATTTCTGACTCGCGAGCATTATCGGAATTCTAACCTGCCCTTCGTTAAATATATCTAGCCGCGGTTACGATTTCTGCGGTTACTGTAATCCCTCTTTCTTATGCAATCGAGTTTAACACTGACGACGATTTTCGCGACCTACGAAACATCGTCAAAGTATTTGCAAACCAATCCTGTCAGGTCAGACATCTTCGTTACCCTTTCCAAGGTCTGCGATTAACAAACGCGTATCGTGTTATCGTTAACCCGGGATTCGCACAGTTTCGATGCAAGGTGATGCTGCGAGCGAACTCAGAAACGTACAAACACAAATAGTTGTTCGAACAGATTGAAATCTGAAGCGAAAATCGGAGAAAATAAAGGCGGGTATGCATGCACCGGTAAAATTCATGCCAGACGATGTTTGCTGGCGGTGATCACGCGATCTCGTAAAACTCGGTGCGCCGTTCTATTCTCGTACTTGTCACGCCATTTTGCATAGCCAGGCAGACGTTCACCCTAATGCGGTGACTCGGCCGGTCCGTGAGTTTGAATAGTAAATTTCGGTTATGATAAAACTTTTGGCCGCGACGCGATATCAACGGCAGTAACGTTACTTTTAAGCGCGGCAATACATTCGACGACGGAACCCGAAACATCGTATTATCTGCGTTCGCCAAAACTCCGCCGGCCAGCTCGACCAACGTCGAGAGCGATGCGTTTATTTAAATAACAATCGTGCGCGATGCGAATAGATATCGAGGGTAAGGGAAAACAAAGGATTCTCGCGGATAGACATTTTGCGCGCCACGTCGCGTCTAGTTCGATGATCGATATCTTTATTAATTAAAAAATGGTGTAAATTCTAGTTTCTATCAGGAAGGCGGTGTAAAAGAAAGAAATCGAGAATCAAACATCGCGGTTGCTATTCCACGGTCTTCGAGACACGGAGAGAAAAAAAGGAATGGGTTTATAGTTTGTTAATGGCCCGGTTTATCGATAGGGCGTCAACTACCCTTGGTAATTGGAGTTACATCGACGCGTGCACGCGAGCGCATACATCTCTCGGCACGAGTTACCTCCATGTTGTTGTGCCTACAAAGAATTTCGCACGCATCCATGCACGCACACATCGACGGATCTCAAAGGAAGGGTGTGTGTATTTACTGCGAGGAAACATCAAGACCGCTGACACAAGGTGAAATATGGGGTCGAAACGGGTGTGGCAATTAAAGCACGGTTCTCTCCTCCCCACTCGCCTCTCTTGTTTTCCTCTCGCTTGTTCTCATAACTCGTGCACGAGTGATTTAGTATTTGTGTACGCGCGAATACACAAGTCGCGACGAGCCACGATTATTTTCAAAGTGTGCAAAAGGGAGAAAACGCGAAGAAATATTATAAAGAATCACGATTTTATCGCCGATCAGAGCTGCATGCTGGAGACTTTGTTTATATTAAATCGCGCGAAAAAGTGATGGCGATTCGAGGCTTGAGAAATCCGTCGAATTTTTCTAACATAACCGATGTTTGAGAGATCCGCAGTTGGCGATACAGCCGACGCGGGTTGCACGACACGCGAGATTTTACTTAGCGCGAACGAGTCGGTTCATTAGCACGCAAATTGTCCAACAGAGACGAGCCCCGTTTCGTGTCGGAGCCGGTACAACCTAACTGGCCTCTTATCGGGCTGCTCGAGGGTAGAAAAAATTCGACGCGAGAACTGCACACGGACCAGCCCTTCGATTCCATTACACCCAGTCGTCTGGATAACGGAACGCAACGTTTTAACGAAAAACGATACGAGACTCGACGAACCTGTTCGTATTTCTCCAACTCCTGATGATAGATCTGCCTAATTTGAGCGAGTTTGGCTCTGTAGTCCGAATGTTCGATGGCGTTGTCAGGTTGTCCAGGTGGTCCAGCCGCTGCAGCCGCCGATGCCGATGCTGCAGCTCCCGCTCCACCGCCTTTCTCTGGACCGGCAACTCCCTCCGCGATCAACATGTTGTCCAACCTCATTAACTGCGGGTCGGGTGGCTCCTCTTCTTGAGTGTTTCGTAACGAAAGCACTGAAACGATCAAAAGTTAAACACATATTATTATCGTGCAAGATTTTACTAACGCGAATGTAAGAATTTTCTGATGCTTTGTCCGTCCATCGGGGCGGCGTAGATGCCGGTTTATAAAAAATCGAGTTGACCAAGGAGGCGGTTAACTTTATTATCGCGCCAATTTTTCTCCGCGATCGAGACAGAGGGTTCCGTTACCGTGGGAATCGTGTATCGAGTGCACGGACTTGGGAAAAGTCACGCGTTTACCGATCGTAAAAGAATCAATTTTGCCGCGGCATTCCCTCCCGGATCACCATCCTCGTCCCAGGCTCTTCCTCTTTGTCTTAAGGGCCGAGGCACGCAGTGCTTTAGAACGGGGCGGTTTTCCGCGGTGTAACAGTGGTTTTATTGTACTTTTACGGTACATGATGGAGCTGGACGACCCATAAAACCAGCAGAGAGCGAGGAAGCTGCTCCTCTCTTTTCTCTTCTCCCTTCTTTCATCCCGTGTCTGTGACAGTTCTTCTAGAAAGATGCAACCCCGTCTTCGACGCTTTTCACCCTGTTCCGCGTAGTAAAACCAACACGTGCACGCGCGAGTAACCGCGCGTCGCGTCGAGGGGATCAACGACTGCGAGGCAAACTCGTGCAAACTACCGCGGGATATACTTCTATTCGGTTTACCGATCATTCTTCCGGTGATTTTAAAAACCGAGCAAGAATTTGTTTGTCGAACGGAAAGTTAGCCGAACATCTTTACGCGATAACTTAAAAAAGGAAACACAGTAATCAAACGTCTCGCGAGCACAGGTATGCCTCGATGATTAGTCATACGCGCGATACGAATTCCTTTACCGAGAGCTGTACGTTCGAGTTGTAATTTAAATTCGTTAAGACTTTTTTCCCCGCTACGTTCTATGCTTTCGCGCCAACGAGAAAAAAAGTCTCTGGAGACCTCCGCGAAGCGAAGAAGGGGTTGAAAGTTCGTTGGGATTCGCGGGAGCGTGAAACGAATGCGCGGAACTAATGCATTTATACGAAGTGTAACAATTAGGGCCGCAGCCCCGACAAAGGGGTTGGGGTTTGAAATTCCTCCCAAGGCTCGAACGAAAAGGGCGAAGACGTAAAGTCGATCACTGGGGAACCGTTTCTTTGAGAAAGATGTTACGCTAACTCTGTCAGAGCTTTCGTGATCGCTTAACGAATCTTACCTCACGCGAGGGAATCGTCTCGAAACTTTTCGCCGATCCCTGCGGTACTTGATTTACTATTGTCTTCGGTCAACGAACGTTGCGCCGTGTCGCACGCGCCTAGGTACTTGTGATAATAACAATTATTATCATTATTTCGTGTCTGACTTAGAAGCGGGCGAAGTTACCGACGATAAAAGTGGCTTTACTTTTGAGAAAAATAATGTTCTCGAAACGCACGGTATTTAAATTTACAAAAACGACCGAGAAAGGTTAACACCAGTCAGAGGGGTGTCGTTAAAACTTGGTTGCTTTGAACTTTTAAAGCTACCGTTGGCAATTAAAAATGAAAAACCTTCGGCCTCCGCACCGTGCCGCGCTGCGTCGTTCGGTCGGAACGGGGTGAAATAAAACGAAAGTTTACGGCGAAGCCGTAAGGAAGAAGTTGTTCCATCGAAAGTTAAGAGCCCATGAGCGATCGACGGTAGGTACTTTCGTTTATTCGTTAGGGGTGTCACGGTCTATCGAGAAGAAGAAATTGCGTTTCAAACGGTAATATTCAAAATTACGACAACCAATCGTTCATATACAGATCACGAGTTGAGAAATTCTCGGAACGAATCCATCGAGATAAATAAATTTATAAGAATGATTTCCGATTGTTTCATCTGCGTAACAAATTTGATCGATATTCGAGACGTTAGGTCTTCCCACTCTGGAGGCAAGAAATCCGTACAATTCTCAGACACGAGACTAGAAATGATGAAAAGCTACGGATCGTTGATCCATCGTGCTTCGCGAAGCACTAAAAGCGCGAAACGGAGGTGCGTGCCGCGCGCGGAAAATTAAGCGGTCGAACGAAATTATTTTCGGGTATCGAGCGGGAAGAAAGTAATCGGGGGTGGCTTACGGGCAATAATCTGGCCATTACGGGGTGTAAGGGGCGGCCCTTGATACCACGTCGCCAAGGCACGGGGACTACTAACCTCCTGCGGGGGTCCTTACAAGCACGTAAACTCAGTTTTACTAGCAGTTAACATTTTACGACTCAGACGGTCTGCCCGACTCTGTACACTTTGTTTCTTCGTCGCTCTTGCGAGGGTGAACAGTGCGTGTTTCTTCCTGTTTCTATTCATTTCTCTCCCTCTCTTTCTCTCTCTCGTTTAGCTTCTCGTCGGCCAACTTGCGGGTATTCGTCACGATACACGGATTCGCGTGTAACGTTGGCTCTACAACAACGTACGCGTCGCGGCGACAGCGTAACGCGCGTCGTTTTCGAGGGTCGTTAGCGAGCGAACTACGTTAATATGACACTCCGTTGAAGATCGAGCTAATTACCCGTCTAAGTCGTTGTACCTGCTATTCGCGCGGGCACGCGAGACAAAATTTCTGCCGTTTGGAAGAATTGCCGCGTCATATGTAAACTTGATAGCGGCGAGTCGGGATAAGAACGAATTAAACTGACTATCGAATATACTACTCGAATCAAGTCTGTACTATGCTCACTTCAATAAATAAATAAATAAATAAAGGTTCGTATATTCGTGCATCGCAAAGTTCTCTCTCTCTCTCCCTCTCTCTCGCTCTCACTCTCGACCTGTGCTCCTACGAATATGCAAGGGCTGCATGTAGAGAGGCGTGGAGAAAATCGAAAATCCCTGTTCGAAACAACCCCCGGGATAATTTAGATTCGCGAAGCGAAGTAGTACAGGTACGGCAACAGCAGCGGCGGCAGTGAGCGGCGGTGGAACGCCGCTGGTGTGTATTGATCTAAACGGGAACCCGTGAAAGCAATTAAGATAAGGCACGGTAACAAAGGGTTGTCGGCTGCTACCCGCTTTTCACCGTAGGAAAACAGAAAAGAGAGAGAGGAAGGGGGAAATGGAAAGAGCCACGAACTAGATGGAAGCAGATACGCGACGAAGAAAGGCCTAAAGCCTGAATAGCACCGAGGGGTGGAAAGCATATGGGGCGCGTTTTCCTAACGCCTTAAATCCTCGAGTACGATACGAACGTATCTAAAACACTCGCTTCTACCCCTTTAATCTATACTTATCAGTGTGTTCCCAAGTGTTTGTTTATTCGACTTAAGAAGTGTCGCCAAATATTAGAAAAGAAATATTTCCAAATAATATAGCGAGTATATTATCGGTCTGTAACAGTTTAGGTGCCTCGGCCTGTATAAAGCAATTTCACCTTCATTTTCATTTCGGCTAGATTCGAATCCTGACCCAGTTCAGTGATACTTTTGAGTGTCTCTCAGGACAACCGAGGGAATCGTTTCCCAAAATCCATTCAATTTTTTTCCATCTTTCTTTTGCAACCTCGAGCTTTTCTTCCGAACCCCGCGATAATCCGCGCAGACCAGATCCAAATATAAGACGAAGGGAACGGGAAAAGATTAGGCGAGGAAAGGAAAGCAAGGGAAGGCAGGGCAGGGCAACCCGGAATGGCTGCTCATTTAATTCGAGGGTGAATCCTGTCGACAGGGACGACGGCACGCACGAAGTGCGAAAGGGAAGCAAGGCAAAAGAAGATGGTAGAGCGTTACCCTCCAGGATCCGATATCGACACCGAGCTGTAAAAATATCCGAACCTCTTCTGATTTACGAAAGAAATCGAGACACGAAGAGTCCTGCGTTGTTGATATCGCGTTTCGCCCCGTCACGAGCTCCGTTTCTGCTCGAGTGCTTTCGGAAAGGTAAGATCGTCGCGTGTCAGGTATTATTGCATCGGAGGAACGGAATGGAAAAAATCGGATCCTGAGAAAGGCGATCGTTCCCAGAGTCCTTGAGCCATTTATCTTACCTTCGCAGCGATAACGGTCTCGTTTCCGCTATCGTCCAAAAGACGCAAACTTATCGTTAACGCGTTATTTCTTAAAAACTCGTAAGAAAATTTCGCTTAAAACGTGCTCGCGTTGAAATCGGTAGGACTCGTTGCTGGCGGTGAAAAATAAAACTACAATTTGAACGCGGTACCCTTTGATGTTCGAGATGCGTTTCGATGGCGCAAAAATGCATGAAAGTTGTAAATAAAAAAAAGGATTAATACAACGGGCAGGGCGACGTTCGGTCGAAACAGGTTTTTAAAAATTGCATACCGCGAGTTGCATCGCTCGCGACGCTATAACGTCGAGCGATACGCTATCTCGAATTGCTCGACGTAATCCGCCGGAAAAAAAGTACGACCGCCGGAGTGAAACATTTATTTTAATCCGACGGCTGTTACGCGCGTTATAATGCGCGCGTACGTTTCGAGCGCGTAAAAGTTATCAGGCGGCCGCTGTCGCGTCGCCGCGAGCAGATATCGGGATTTCTCTCCGCGGATAATAACGTTTGGAACGTCGCAGACAGCGGGGTGCGCTCGCTGTGCTTCCGGCCTGGACGCCGACTCCGCTTCGTCGTTTCCCGTCTCTCCTGTCGAGTCAGAACTTTTCCACGATTTCTTTCGCGCTTTGGCAATTCCGCGCTTCCGTTTTCCTGAAAAGATTCCTACGCGAACGGTTTCTCGCGTCGATATTTTTCCAACGTCGACACGGAAAGCGGTTACTTTCCTCTCACGCTTCCTATCTCCGGTCTAGGACTGAGGCTACGCGTCCAATGGTTTCTATTTTTGAATATTCGAATATTCGAACGGATCGGTGGTCTGGAGACTCGACGAATTCATTATAATTTGCCTCCCAACATTCTTTTCCGACAAAATAAGAAATTGTATAAGCAATGAGAAAAAAATTCGAAAATTACTTCTTACACAAAGCAATACTTGGAATGATATACGTTTGCTATACACATACATATATAATATACGTTTGTTGAAGCCGTACCC